ATTAATTTTCCTTTTCTTTATAATCACAAATATTCTGAAAAACATAAAAATTTTTTAATTGTAAAAATATCACATCTCTTTCCTGCTATTTCCAACAATTTAGAAATTTTAAATTATCTTATATTAAAATTAAAGAATGATGAAATTTGTAAAAAGTACTCTTAAAAATATTCTCAATCGATTCTTCTTTCATCTTGAATTTCCATTTTTCTTTTACACTATTATTAACTATTTTAGAAAACGTAGAAATTCTTTATCAAAAATATCTCAGTTTCTTTTTTACTTAACTTTCAACAACTCAAAAATTTCTTGTGCTAAATATAAATTCTCATATCGTGACTCAACACCATTAGACGAGGAATTAAATATCCCTTCATCAAAAAGCATTAACCTTGAAAACGTATCCTGCATCCTCCAAACTCAACGTTTCATTTTTTTTATCATAAACATCGATCGATCCTTCTTCAAATAAAATTAATTATTTTAGCGATATTTTTCTCACTGATCTCTTCTCATAACCACACTTTATTCTCGAATTATCTTGAAATCCATGACGAAGAAACGAGATATTAGGAATGAAGGACATGTTATTTCGATCGTGATGACGAATAATCGAGGACATATTATTCATCATCATCGATACGTAGGCGAATATATATCGTTTTTCTTTTTTTTCCCGATCGAGAGAACTCACCGGTTTGAACGACACGAATGGAAGGATCGATGCTCGACGCCCACGCCATCATGGGTTCGAGCACGGCTACCAACCTATCTCGCCACTGAATCCGTATCTGTATCGGTCACGAAACTTCCTGTCACGATTAAGGTCGGCGCCGATCGATGCAAAGGGTCAGTCACCGTGCGGACAATGAGCAACGAACTTTAATTAGACGAGAAAACGATATTTGTTCGATTTTATTTAAGTTAATTTCAATTATTATAGCAGTTGATTATTTTTTCTCGGACAATATATATTGTGCGCAAACATCTTTATTCTTTTTTGAGATAAAATCTTGAATATATGAATTAAAAACATTGAGGTAATTTATTAAGATTACAATTATTTTAAATAAAAAAGATTAAAAATACTCCAATTTTTTTTAAAAATAATAAAAAAAGAGTGTTAACTTGTATCTATTCAATATTCCATCATTATTATTTAATGTAGCATAGATATATCTTATTATCTATCAAATTTTCAAACAAATGTTCTAATAAATAAATTTAACACGAGATCTTTGATACTTTTTTTCAAACTTTTGAACGACAGTGTGCGATCCACAATTACAAAAACAAAATTGAAAGAACTTAACCTAACCTATGGAGGCGCGTCAATTGAAAGGGACGAATTGAAAACAACGAAACGCGAAAGTGGCTCCTGCCGTTCGTATTGTTCCCGTTCAATGCTAATCAGGTGCGGCTCGAGACGTGCAAGCTGCATTGGCGGATTTCCATAACGGCGACGGAAGTCCCTTTAAGCGGACGTGGGCGAGCGCGCGCCAATTCAAAGCGGAAGAAATCGAAAAAATGGAAAACGCTCATTGTTCCAGCCATGGAGGGAAAGAAGGGAGGATAATCGTTCGAGTGAATGGCCAAGAGGATCGCCGGTTAACAATATCCTCGCAATCACGACGCTTTTATTTAGTGAACCAATGATGGGCGATTAAACGATTTTGGACGAGAGATATCACTTATGCATCGTCATGAACGAGATATCTCAATTATTATATTCATTGAATATTTTGATTAAAATATTCTGCGTTTACCTTTTTTTACTATTCCAAATTTTCATGATGGCTATAAACAAAATTTTAATACTTTCGATGCTTAGAATCGAATATCGATCATTCTAAAGTTTTGATTATAAAATATTCTGTTCACTTAACTTTTTTATTTTAAATTTTGATACTTGAATATGTAATGAAAAATACTGTAGCTTTTGTTCTTCTGTGTTTAAAATAATGAATATCAATTATTGTAAATTTTTATGATATTAGTATTCCTAAACAAAATATCTTGTTTTCCTTCCTTTAATACTTACAATTGAATGTTACACATTTAATATGCCGCATCATTTTGCAGAAATCTTGCTTGATATAATTCCAATCTCATAAGACAAGAGAAAATTAAAATATTTTATATTCTTTCAACGAAGAAATTCCCGCAGAATCATATTGTAAACAATGTTAAGAAAATAGAATCGTTTATTTTAGAGAAACTACAAACAAAACGCGAGAAAGCTTATTATCGACGATGTAAAAGCACTTTTATGATATATTGTTTAAATTTTCGCGTTGAATCGATTGTCTTTTATCTACCAGGAAAGTTGTAAATTTTTCCAGAGCATATTTACAAATTCGTTTACACATATAAATATTTTCTCTTTCGTTCTTGTCTTTATAAATTCTCCACAAGTTTCACTTTCGAAAAGTGAAAATATTTATCATGAAAATTCTAATTACAATCTTTAATATAGTTTTTAAAGAAAAATGGTAAATAATTTGATGAAATATTTTTAATTTCGATAATTATTTACAAAAATATATCATCCTAACAACTCTTGAATAAACGATCTCATCTCACTTAATCTAACTTAACTTAAAATGTGTCTAAATGTTAAAAACTTTTTTTTTTTTTTTTTAATTTAACAACGACTGCCAACTAAAATCTTCTCAACACTATTCAATATGATGACATCAACAATATATTGAAAATATTATCGAGATCCCAAGATGGTTAATTAAGTATTTATCTATAAATATTAATATTACGATTAAATATATCATCTGTATCAATTTTTGATTAATTTTTCACAAAACAAAAAAATGACGACGTCACGTGAATCACCCTGTACACAATCACCAATTCACTCAAAAGAAAGATACGCGTAAATCCTGATCGCGAGAAGGTCGGAAAAAGGATGTCAAGCGGTGAAAAGGTAGATATACGAAGGTAAGAAAAAGAACAGGCCAATACGAGTGATTGGATTCGCTCGTACGCTATCTGGAAGACTGGCCAGACAGCCTTTTACTCCTGTTTTGGTTCAAGTCGAGGAGATGGAGGAGAGACCCGGTGACCTAGAACTTGGGAAAGCGACTTGAAGAACGCGAATGTTCCTCTCAAGATGATCTTGCGCTCTAATTGCTTGTGACGGTTGGCAAAATTACACAAACTTTCCACCAAATACTTAGATGTTTCGAGATTACAATACATTATAGAAAATATGGTTTTCCATCGATTTTTCGACCTCTGCGAATTTTCTTCTGAGGAAATTTTCAACAACAATGGAAATCGATCGAGAGATGGAAGAAAATTGATTTGTTTTGATTGATATGAACTATTGCGATTGTTTGGATAGGAAGGTACACTTTAAGGCGAGTTTCGAACTATTACTAATAGTATATTATACTTGTTAATGCTATTCGTATTGAATGTAACCGAACTTTATAATTATTATTATTGTTAGTAAGTATTGATAAAATGAGTTTCGAATCACTAATAAATGTATTATGTGATTAATTAATAAATAAATGGTTAATTATTTTTAACATTTTTAACATTATTATTGTTAATCAATCTGTGATCGTTAATAGACGATATATAGTTTAAGGTGAATTTCGAATCATTAATACACTATGTTTTAAAATGATTAATTGATTTGTATTGTATACAGCTTTTATCAATCTAATTTAATTTAATTTATTCTAATTTAATAATTTAATTTAATTTTCATTTAATCATGGATCTATAATTTTAAATGGATTATAAATTATTACCAATAATATTCCAAAATAATTAATTATTTTACAATTAGTACTAATCTATGCCCAATGTAGCTCATAAATTTTGATTATTATTAATCAATATCATCTGGTACGATCACATAATAGAGCATGTATTTCAAGCTGAGTTTCTATTAGTGAATCTCACTTAAATATTAACTAACCACAATATATATAATCGATATAACTTAACCTTAATAATTTTGAATATCAATAGATCAAAAAAAAAATTATTCTACCGAAAAAATTATTGACATCTAAAAAGAATGTAACATCTTTAGCTTATAATTTTTTACTTTAAAACTCTGTGTAGACAACTACTGTGGTTCAATAACCGTGGACCAACAGTTTAAGGTTAGCTTACTTAAATGATTGTTCGATCTTCGTATTCTCCCGATATCGAGAAAACTGTTTGATTTATGTAACGTGCGCGAGAAGGAAACATCATGATAAAAAAGAAATTGGAAAAAGTCGTTCGACAACTTTCGAACATTACAAAGATGGAATATGTAGGTCGCGATCGAGAGGCCTACGGAGATTCTCTCGAGAGGCTTGGACGTATTCCGGTGCACGGCTCGAGACATGCGATCGATTGCTGGTAATGTGTGTCAGGAATGCGGAGGGGAACCATGCTTCGGTTTGATGGCGAAATTTTATATAGTTACGATGCGTAATATCATATTCCGTTTCATTGCTTGCCGAATGCAATTATTTTATTCTTTGAATGCACGGTTCAATCCATTTCGCTTGGAATTTATTTTATCTATTTTAAAAATAAAGAATGCGTGAATATAAAGTAGAAACAGAATAATTTAAAAAATTTTTAAACTATAAGTTTCGTTATATGTTCTTTGTTTACTATTTATATTTATATTTTATTTAATTCTGTCTAATTTCTTATCAAAATTTCAATCGAATATTAATGAATAATTATCACAGTATTATTTTATATATAAGAAGAAATATAAAATATAAAATAGAAATATAAAATAATTCTCTTTCCATATATAAACTTCGTTTCATATTTTTCGTTATACAGTATTATTTTATATATAAGAAGAAATATAAAATATAAGATAGAAATATAAAATAATTCACTTTCCATATATAAACTTCGTTTCATATTTTTCGTTATATAAACTTCTTGGAAACCAAACATTTCAAAAAGAAAATAATTAATTTTGATGAAATTAATCAATTCAATTTTTCTCGCTTCAAGTAAAATTCTTCAATTTAATCCAAAATGTACAAATAATATTTAAACTTTCAAAAAGCAAATAATTAACCTCGATGAAGTTTAATAATCATTTCAATCTTTCATTATTAAACGTATCACTTATCAATATTTATGTTCTTCGTTATATTCTTCATTACAAAAATATCAAAATGTTTACCATATTTAGATCTGCAATTAGAATCATTTAGTTGCGATTCTGTAATCAAGGACCCGTTTCTTATATAAATTGGAATGACGACACGAGCAAAAGAATCCACAATATTAGGCAATAAATTCTTTCTTCAAGGTTCATTAGCTGCGCAGACTTTAATCACTGTTATTTACATGTGACGAGAGTCGTAAGGACACGATTAATAGGTTCTACCTAGTTGTTTTGTTTCCGCATTTCGCATTCCATCCATCGTCCACGATGCATGACGTCAGCTTCTAGGCTAATTGTATCGAACACCATTGTTGTCTCTAACGAAATCCCATGGCATTAATCTGTCTTCCATTTCCGCGGGAAGAAATATGTTGGGAAGAGGAAGAACATACTGGAAATGGATAAAATCGATTTTGTTCAAAAAAGAAGATAGAACGGATATATACTATTCTTCTTAGTACTATTCTTAAAATGTAAATACAATAAGAATTGAAAGTTTTTCATAATTATCTTATAAAAAAATTGATGTAATTTAAAAGTATTGATTTTAAGTGAAAGTTTATGTACATGTGAAATATAATAAATAATTTTTTTATTGGAGATTCTATTAATAGAGTATTCAATTCTAAAGATTTTATAATTTAAAATGCGGAATTAAAAACTTGAAAATAATTTTACTTCATTAAAATATTTCAATAAAAAAAATTATTTATATATCAAAATTCATTAATCAATAAAAAATTTGTTAAAAAAAATTAAAAAATAGAAATTAAAAGAGATTATTGCGAAAAATACATTAAACTAATACGTTAAAATAGAGATTAGAAAATTCCAATTATTATCTAAAATACAAACTTAACAATTAATTAACAATCATAGATTTAAAATTAGTAACTATCCATTGATCCGTAAATAGCAATTTTTCACAATTTTTTTTCTATAATTTCATCTTTAAAAATTCTCGTCTTTCATTCTTGGCAAAAATCAATTGGTTCAATACAAAAGTCTCTTAATTAAGAAATTCATCGTCTGTACTCATTGAATCGATCTTTCCATGTAAAAGATTAATGAACCAGACTGACCAATAAACCAGTGTTCCGAGCATATTAGCAGTGCATTTCTTACGAATTCAAGCGAATTATTTTGTGTCTCTATCTGGTTAGTAAACGTGCCACGTACAGCCACGTGATAGCCGCTGCGACATGGTAAAACTTCTTTGAGATGGTTGTTCAAACATTTACAAGATTCCATGATAATAGTGTGGCCATAAAAGGATACGAAAGGTCTCACCCGACCAAAGTCCTGGGAAAAACTATAAACCAATGTTTACGAGCATCTGCTGGAACTGTGAAAAAAGATGAATTCCGAAAGTTTCATGGAACTGTTCGAATAACACCTCGAAAATGATTATAATTCCATAGAGACTTACTTTTATTGTAGTTCTTGTTTTATTATTTGATGAAGTTATATTTTATGTGATCCTTGGTGATTGGAATATTGTGTAATTGTTATTTTATATTGTTATTGATATAAAATATCACAATATCACTTCGATAATGAGATTCGATAATTTATAACTCGAGAAGAGATATAACGTAAGATTCGAGTTAAGAAAATTTCTCGAAATTATCTAATTAGAGAGATTTGATTAATAAAAATTCGAATTACATCTTATGAATCATAGATTCTCCAATTATGGATTTCAAGAATAAAATAAATATATAAGTACGTACGTATAACCTCAAAATTATAAGTATTTTTAATTCCAATTTTTCCGCTGCATGATTTTTTTTAAAGAAGAACCAACTAAAATAAGACAAAATAAAGAACAAAAATATAGTATAAAATATAATTATTAAAATATAAAGTAAAATAAACTAACGATCACTTGTCATTTATCTTCTAAATCAAATTCTCAAACTATGGATCATTCCAACATATAATAAAATAAATATATAGTACATATATACATATTTTATCGTATGTACATATTTTAAATCTAAAAGACTAAAAACAGAATTCTTACCACTACTGCGAATCGATTTCTTTTTTCATCCAAGATCGCTTCTTCGTAAAAGGGTTAACGCTCGCGCAATGCGCAAGACGATTGGAAGCAGATTGGTCGGTAGTTTCGTCAAAACGGAGCATGCGTTAAATTTAATACGATTCTTCTCATATATACGTGGCAACGACAAAGGTCTGGAAAAACGCGGACTCGTGATAGCCCGAAGGGCAGATCGTGGCCAGCAAGATGCACGTTTTCTCGCCGCAAAACACAGGAAGAAGAACTCGAACTGGAAACGAGGAATGGTCAGTACTCGATTCGCTTTCCATTCCTGCCCATTTGAACATATCGCGAATCGAGGCCGATCGGCCATTAATTTCTATACCTCTCGCCTCGACTAACCGCTCAGAGCCTCGTATCGTTTTCATCTTCGCGCTCCCGTCTAGGGACGAATGCAATCCCTTCTTTTTCGATTTATCGTGTTCTGCAACCGTTTCTGCAATCCTTCGATGGGATTGCTCAAAGAGGGAAATAAGCGAGAACTTGCCGAATTCTTGTTCGATTGCTGGAGAAATTATGGATGTATCGTGAATTCGGAAAAATAAAAGTTTATTGATGAATTTATTGATATTTTGTAGCAGATAATTGGTAACTAGTCTTGAAGGAAATTGTTAATAATTGTAAACGATATATTTTTATTGCTAGAAAAATTCTGAATCGATTCAAGATTCAAAAAAAATTTTATCGATGAATTTGAGATTTTGTGAAGAACGATTGGTATATAGAAATTTATTCGAGAGAATTGAAATTTTTAAACGTAAATAAGAAACGAAATGAGAAATATAAATTCAGTATGTTGATTTGATAGATTTTTTAAAAAGTTTTCAAAGTTTGATGAATATCGTATTACGTTTGAATAATAAGAATAAAATTATATTAATCTCATATCATTTTTATTAAATGAAATAATAAATATAAAATTTATATAAAATTTATATAATATTATTCATATTATTCTTCCTATGTGTATACAATATTTATGATATATAAGAATTTTATAATATAACACTATAATAATACATAAAATAAAATCAAGAAAATTTATCCTTGTAAATTATTCCATTCGCTTTTTGTTTTCATTAATGATAAAAATCTAAGGCAAACAATTTCAACAAACAAAATTACGGTGCAACGAGTTAGAAAATTATAAATTTTTAAGAACGCTTTTTTACGAAAAATGAAATCGTTATTAATGCAATTCCCAACGATACTTTCTATAATTGGTCGATAAACATTTCATTTGTTCTATACTCACGTGTGCAATACTAATCACAGATCAATTTCTTCGATCGTTCAAGAAAATGAGTCACTTCCTCAATTACGAATGATATTCTGATTTCCATAATAACTATCGCATCTGCACCAACTTTGTATCCGTTGAATGTATCAAGACAGATACGATCCGATCCGTGTTAATACCGATTATCAGATCTTTCTCCAGGCGAAGAATGGAAACTTTATTCTCGATGCAATCTGTTTCTGATTCGATACGCTTTTCCTAAGCCGAGAATGAGGATGCCCTGAAGACAGATGTTCGACGATGGACGAACAAATGAAAAAAATTTTCCCTTGAAATTTGATCTTTGGACTCGTGATCGGAAATTTGAAATTGCATACTCGCATTTAAAATATCCTCTTGCTTATTTTTTATCATTAGATTGATAGGATTTTTATGCAAATACGTATGATACGTTAAATATATTTTGCATGTTTTTCACAAGATGAATGAATATACCGAGCAATTCATAAATTATGATCAAAGAAAGATATGAAAATAATAAATAAAATAGAATAAAATCTTTTTTGAATTCAAATCAAGTTTGATAATTTTTCAAATACAAGTGAAAATTATTAATCTCTAACAATATATGACAATTGTATTACTTCATACTTAGTTATATCTATCTTTTAGTATTATTTGAAAATACTATCTTTTAGTATTTTCAAATAAAAGTAAAACGTATTGAAAATCTAAAGATCAAATTATGATTAGAATGAAAATAATATTCTGTATCCTCTATTACTAAATATAGCTCGATTTTCCTCTTACGAATTTCCACAGAAAGATAATACGTGCGACACATTATCCCCATGGATATTACTGAATTAGATAAAGGTACGTCACGTGATCAGCCTTCCACCAATGCTAAGCGTTCCATTGTGTCACGTGATGGACCTAATGTAGCAACAGCAGTGGAAATAATATGACGTCACTGTCATATTAAGCAAAAGTTATATCAACACATTTCCGCCAAAGTACCACATCGTATCACTTCTTCATTTTACATTGTACATAAAACAATATAGAAATTTATCATTTAGATAAAGAAATGTATACGTATTTTTGTTTAATTAGTATATCACATGGAAATTCACCAAAAAAATGGAAGAATCTATTTCGTCTCTATATAATGGAAGAATCCATTAACGATAAGTAACATTATTCATTATACTTTCAATCTTTTATTATTATATTATTAAATATAGCATTTCTTTTATCACGTTCTTTAATTTTCTCTACATTAATTTTCTAAAAATTGAAAAATCTTTCTCTTTCACTGCACAATCTCTTTCCATTTCTTCTTTTAATGTTAATAATTAACCAATACAAACTCACATAATCAAGCTAACAACGCTATTCTCCTTTTTTCCCTTAAACACCGTCCGAGGAAGCCATTATAGAAGAATAGAAGAAGCTATTAACACGTAGCAAGAAGCAAATTGAGGTCTCGTTTTCAATAGAAGAACGATCGAAGAGGCGAACCGTTCCGTCGGAATTATCAGGCTTTGATCCTATCGTCCCGGCTGCTTCCTGGTTCCACATCATCCTCGAATGGCTCGCTTCCTCGTTTCTCCATGCCGCGTGAGCGGATCATCTCGTCGTTCTAATTAATCGGCACGCTCTTGCGTTGGAATGATATCGGTTAACGACACACCGAGCGTAACGAACCATTCAACCATTTGAAAGGAACGTGAACTCTGATTGCTTGTAAAACAAACACTGGTAATGACCATCGTTGAGCGATCGATTGATCCAGGAAAGATCGTGAGAAGTGTGTTCGAGTAGTTGGTACACATTGTAATTAATTAAAAGAAGGTTTGTAAGTTTTTAGAATGGCACGGTAATTATTATTAGGATTAATTGAGCGAGCTCGTCGAAAAAGTAATTTTTTTTCTTGGTATATATAACGCAATTAGAAAGAAGGTTTTACGGCAGAACTTGGTGATTATTACCAAAATTAGTTGAACGAGTTTGTCGGAAAGTTAATTTTTCTTCTTAGTTTTCTTCTTGATATATACTGTAATTAGAAAGAAGATTTGTAAATTCTTAAGGTAAGATATTAGAAGATAATGGATTTATTATTAAAATTATTAAATTATTTATCGAGTAATCAATTTTTCTTCTTAATTTTCTTTTTAGTTGGTATTCCTAATATAATTAAAAAGAAGATTTGTAAGTTTTTAGAACAAATAATACAGTCGAAATTAGTGGAACTTGCTGATTATTACCAAAATTAGTTGAACGAGTTTGTCGAAAAGTTAATTTTTCTTTTGAGTTTTCTTCTTGATACTGTACTGTAATTAGAAAGAAGATTTGTAAGTTCTTAAGGTAAGATGTTATAGTGGAATTATTATTAAAATTATTAAGTTACTTGTCGAGAAATTAATTTTTCTTCTTAATTTTCTTCTTAGTTGGCATATAGTGTAATTAGAAAGAAGATTTGTAAATTTTTAAGATAGATAATACAGTGGAAATTAATGGAATTAATTGGTGATGACAATGGTAATTATTATTAAAATTAGTTGACTAAACTTGTCGAAAAGTTAATTTTTCTTCTTAGTTTTCTTCTTGATATACATACTGTAATTAGAAAGAAAATTTGTAAGTTCTTAAAGCAAAATATTACACTGAAATTATTATTAAAATTAAATTAAAAATTAAATTACCTGTTTAATTTTCTTAGTTAGTAATATAATTAGAAAGAAGATTTGTTTTTAAGCTAGATAGAAAAATGGAACTTGACAATTATTAAAATTAATCGAATAAACTCATCGAAAAATTGATTTATCGATCGGCCAAATTAAGCAAAAGAAGAATTTAGCCAATGTAAATGTAGTTCTTTCAATATATATTTTTATTATCAACGAATTTCGATAAGATGTTTTGTTAAGAATATTATTTTAATAATTTCTTAAGTTGCGAAACTAATAAGGAGAAAAGACTTTCAAACTTTTGAATCGTAATGTGTTCTATGAGAAAATTCATTATGGATAGAAGTTTGCCATTTGATCGATAGAGAGAGTTTTTTTTTTTTTAGAATTATAAAGATGAGAATCACGACTTTCTGATAGACCTTTGTAATAATCCCGCATTATATCCTATTATGCCAACGATAATTACGAACTTATGATATTTATCGTTAACTCACGTCCATTAATTAATAAAATTAATGTAACTGCGAATTTTCAATTCTCTTTGCAATTTTCAAACGATCTTATACCAGTTTTATTTACCGCCTTCTATAATTTGAAACTAAATAATTAAAAATGGCGGATTCAGAAAGGAAGAAAGATGAAGTTAGAAACAAATAGAAACTTCTTGCAATTTTTATAATTATCGTGAGTTAAAAAGTGGGTCAAACTTATTTATACACACAAATTATACATTTATCATATCAAGATTTCATTTCGTTCCTTTGCAATTAAAATGTGGAAAGTTACTCTTTAAATGTTAATATCCAACATTCCTCGTAAAGAAAATCATTATTAAAGAAGATTATATTACATGTATTGAGATTTAATTAATATCGTTATATTATTATAAGATGAAATTGCGCAGCGTACAAATAATTGTAGTAATTACACGAACTAATTAATTTCTCGGAAAAGTAAAATATCATTCAGTTTAGCTACCGTTTAATCGTAACACTGTTCTCTCAATAGAAGACACAACTGTTTAACTTCCTTTATGTAAGATATAATTATAAACGCAAGACGACGATATTGTGTCAAGAAAGATCTTTCGACACTCTTCTCTAAAAGCATGCATGCAATTTCGTTCTACAATTCGATGTCAAATTAAATTCGATGTTTATTAGTCCTTCATTTTACACGCATAGAACAAAGTAGAAATTCATTGTTAAACTTATGTAACAATCTCGTTAACGTTTCATTATCAATACTTTGCTGTGCTGTGAACAAAAAACATTAAAAAGTAACTAGTGATGAAAAAGTAACTAGTTAAAAATTTTGAATTACTTTAAATAATTATTTATTAAAATGCTTGAATAACATTTATTCGTATCTATTATAATATAATATAATATAATCAGCTTTTCGTATAACCTCGACTGTTTGACATTATTAAACATTTATTTGCAATTATTATATTTTGAACATAAAATAACTTATCGAGGTAATTTCAACTATTAAATTTTGCCCATCATTGACAAGGTGAATGGAATAAATGAAAAATAAGTTTATTATGATCAGACGTATTAATACGTTTCCATTTTCATTATTTTGTTATTTATTTTTTTTTATTATCTTTGTTTACGCAATGAAGAGAACGAGTGTTACATCGATCGATGATTGGTTTTCGAAATTCATTTTAATCATTCGAGGGAAAGTGGATAAAGGACAAAAGACTTGTTTACATTAAAGAATATTCAATCGATTAAATTTTACATTTTATCTAATCGAAATATAATTTAGAGGAAAAATTTTTTATCAAATCTATCGATAAGATTATACATATTTTTATTATGAACAATTATTTACAATAAAGATTCGAATTTTTATGATTCATCATGTATATAACTAACATAAATCACACATAAAAATTTGCCGTATGATTATAACTATGAACTATTGGATTGATCAAAAATTAGTTTTTACATATTTTTATCATACTATTTATACTGAAAATTCAAATATTTTCACAATGCAGATATAAGACATGAAAAATTCGATTTTTTTTTCTCTCATCCATCTCGTATGCATTGAATACAAATCATAAAAACTGCTATTATAACTATGAAAATCAGATCGATCAAAAATTAATATAATAACAAACACAAATATATTTTACATATTTTTATCTTCGAACATTATTATTTATACAATATTATTCACCAGAAAAAAGATTCGAATACTTTTTCGATCGATAATAGACCGAGCAAAATGGAGGTGGCCGTGAAAACTCGCCTTACGATCGTATAAGTCACGTATCAACTATCGGCGATAATAACGCACAATGGAAAGTGAGTAGTTGGAATTGCAAAGCAATAGAAGCACGATCATTTCCGTTGTGTCGTTTGTCAGATCGTGAATCGTTCATCCGCGATCTTGATTCGTGGCGAGGATATGGTCAAACCACATGGACACTTTTAGAATTGCAAAACCGCGATTGTCCGTTTCCATAAGGCCATGATATACTCGAGCTCTTTCATAAAAACGGAACAATGAGATTCCCAGCGGATGCCACTAGTTCTTTGTCCCTTCGTTTCCTCGACTCTTAAATCGTCGTTCTGCCTATTTTTATCGCTATTTTTTCTTGATACGAGAGAGAAAGAGATAGAAAGAGAGAAAGAGAAAGTGAAATCAATCCACTCAACATGTTTTTAGTTCGTAATATAATTTTTATTTTTGTATATATGCATATATTTTCTTTTTAATCTGAATATGTGTTTCGATTTACACGTTTTACGTCTAAAATGAAAACAAAGGAAACGTTTTGCATATATTAAAACAATATTTTTTTAATCTAACCTAATCTAACATAACCTAGTTTTTTTGATTGGCGATATGCCATGATTTTTAGGATGAATATTGTTATTTGTTTAAAAATATGTGAAAATATTTATGATATTAGAAAAATATTTTTGATCTTTGATTAAATTTTAAATAACATAGAAGTTGTTAAAAAATATATTCGATTTGGTGTAATGTGATTACAAATAAAAATAAAAAAAAAAGTGATTTGCAAAAATATTCAGAATGTGATTGTAGAATCCAATATAAAATATTATTTTTAAAATATCTTTAATTAATCATTTTTAACAGAACGAGTTTAAGTTAATTTTCCTCTAACGATCAATTTTCTAATTAAAATTACTCAATTATGCACAATTTTCGCATTAATTTACTGTTCAAAGAATCATCAAGAATTATCATAAACCATGACTAATTATCGCTTTAACATTTGAAAGAACAAAATACGAGTTTAAAAATACGTTCCTAACAATAAGTTATAGCTATTAAATTTGATCAGAAAAGAAGCGAATAGAAATTAGAAGCAAATAGAGAAAACATTTTTTTTCTGGATGTCAAAGTGTAAATTCGTCACGTTTGGTTTTAATAGTCAAAAATTACGACTCTCTAAACTTTCATTCTATTTCATATTCAACCTTGGAGACAGTGAATTGTGACATACTTAATAACAAACTTCTTAATTCGATAGAAAGTAAAACCGCTAATTCGTTATAGAATAGAAAATCGAATAAAATCTTTGAATTTTTTTTTTCTTGGATAACAATGGAGATCGAGAATTTTCTCCTTTTTGAAAAGATTGCTGAATTTCATGACATAGTTTATAATAATGACATAGTTTATAATAATTGCTTGTTTCTCAGACAATCAATCGGAGGAAAGAAACTTTCTTAATTATATTCAAAAATGGATTATTAAATATCTATAATTCATAATTACAAATATTTCGATATAGTTTAAAAATGCATAAATTTTTCTTTGAATTTATAAAAAAGAAATGATATTGATTGCAATTAAACTGCGAATGCCACGATTAAGATATATTTACGAGGTTCCGTTGCGAAGGGACATGCCATAAAATATCCCTTAGATACTAAACTTGACTACGAGGAAGTCACGTCGCGTATTGGAGACATCTCAAGAATTATGTTCGCTTACAAAATAATAGCCAAGAGAAACATGAATTTTTCACGTTTGTAATAATCGAATTTCTCGTCGTAGAAAATATAAAAATTTTCTTAAATCTTTTCGAAATTCTCTAAATTTAGACGTTTTTCTTTTCTTCCAGATAATGTTTGTTCTATAAAGAATAAAAATCTTAATAAATCTGAAATTCTTCAAAAATACAAATTTTTCTGGATTTCCAGAGTTTTAAATTTCTAAAATTGTTCAAAAATATAAATTATTCTTTCTTTGAATTTCAAGAGAATTCCAAATTTCTAAAATTCTCCAAAAATATAAATTACTTTTTGTTTGAATTTTAAGAGAATTTCCAAATTTCTATAATTCTCCAAAAATAATTTACATTTCAAAATTACTAAATCGCAAAAATAGCAAAAATTTCGATATTTTTTCCAATTTCTGAGCGTCTCTATTCTTCATATTCTTAAAAAAATTACGAAGAAGTGAAGAAATAAAGAAAGAAACGATGATAGGTGCAAAGGGAGCGTTTTCCGTTTCCGCATTCGAATGGTATCCACGATCGGGAACAGGAGGCCATAGCTCATTCTCGATCTTGATCCTGGCCGTGAAAAGGGCAGTGCGAACGAAGGAGCGCACACCAAGCGGACGTATTACCACTTGTGGACTCGGTGATTGGTATCGTGAGCGAGAGGTGCGAACGTAACTTCATAGACAAGTGAAAATTGCCTCGTTAATCTCGTTCGATTTATCTCATAAAAATTTCTTTCTTTCTTTCTTTCTTTCTTTTTTTTCTTCTTTCTTTCCTTCTTTTTTTCTTTCTTTCTTTTCTTCTTTCCTTCTTTCTTTCCTTCTTTCTTTCCTTCTTTCTTTCCTTCTTTCTTTCCTTCTTTCTTTTCTTCCTTCTTTCTTTCTTTCTTTCTTTCTTTCCTTTTTTCTTTCTTTCCTTCTTTTTTTCTTTCTTTTTTTCTTTATGTATTTCAATATTGATAGATTTCGTTTCGCTTTCGTTGTAATCGGTTCAGACGAAACTGTTCAACTAAACTATTTTAACGAGGATTACTTCGAATTTTTAAACGAGAAGAAAATATACGAATAATTTTTTTTCATTCGATGATTATCTTTCATATGGATTTTTCTTTACTGCAAATGAATTTAAAAGAGATTAGTTACGAGAAGATTGTAATGTAATTTTTTTTACGAATAATTTCGTTTTAAGCAACTATATATACTTTTATAAGTAAATTTGAACAATTTGAAAAGGATATATGCATAATGCATATATTGAATACAATAAATATACAATCTATAAAGAGATCTTTCATAATATTAGAAATCAACTTTCCAAAATTATTTTTAGAAATTTTCTTCCATTTGTAAATCATTTGTAAATCACTTAAAAATATATATATATATATAAATACGATGATTTTGTTTCTTTCTGTAGACACACTTTCTATTCTTTTGTTAAAAATATATAAGTTTCGACCTTCTTCTTTTGGTTTGTCCTTATTTCGCACAATTTCAACTTTGTTTTAACTTGATGATGAAGACAAAAGCGTACTAAAAATTATCGTCAAGGATTATCTTGGCACATAATTATCGTGAAAGCTTAATCAACTCGATCGTATGCAATTAAAACGATTCTCCTTTCCGCTTGCAATCTTAATTGGAACTAAGGAAGATTCATTCGCTGTTTCTTTCGTTCATTACTTCGCAAGCAATTCATTCTTTTCAAAAAATTTTCGAATATTAATCGCGCCAATTTATTTACAGCTTTTGTGCACATTACAAATTGCATCGATAAGAACTTAACGATTATTCAATTCCAATAATCTGGAATTTTTCTATTCCAATATTCTATCAAAAATTATCTTATCCTGTTAACAAAATAAATATTTTTTTGTTAAATTGCAAAAGAAATAACGTATCGTTTATAAAATATATTAAATATATAATTATAAATTTTACATTTTATAAGTCGCAGAATTTATAAAATTATAAAATTAACAACCATTCACTCACATTTTCATACATCGAATTAATCTTTTGATGGCCAATATTTACTCGCACGATTTTCTGTCAATAAAGGATAATTTCCTTCTTTATGGCTTGTAAAAATAGAAAAAAAAAAAATATTTTTATTCAAGATGTTATAATATTATAGCTTTCATAAATTACAAATTATAATGGTTGACGAGAAATTAATTAACCAATCTTTACATCGAATTAACAAACCATTTCGACGATAAATCCTTACTGTTCTATACTTACAATTTCATTTCAATCCCATCGTGGATACAAATCAAAGCTTAAAATCCTATCTTCTCCTATGCCTTATAAAATCGTATTTTTACTTGAGAGTTTTATAGTATTGTTTATAGCTTTTATAATATATTACAAATCGTAATAGTTGATCATAAACAGCCATTCACTTTTACATCAAACTAACAACCTTTTCGATGACCAATCTTTTTTGTTTTTATGTACACCATTTCAATCTCATCATCTCGTGGATACAAGATTCGAGGCTCATCCTGTCTCCTCTTATAGCCTTAACAAAAAACAAAAAAAAAATAAATAAATAAAAAGAAAGAAAAAAATTCTAATCTCCACTTTCATTCGAGACACGCAGGAACAGGCCATTAATCCATTTCTCCATCGTAAAGAAATATTTCATTCCGTCTATTTTCCATTCCATCCCTGAACGTCTTCCTTTCACTTCTCTCGACCATCTGTGCAATGGATTATTTCGCAGATCTTCCATTTTCTACCAGCCAGAGGCAGACCGTGATATTCTTTTTCTTTCTATTTTAAAAATTCTTTTTTTTCCCTTTTTTATTTTATTCTCTTCCTTTTATGATTGCTCCAATTTTATTATGAATCGAATGGGATAAAGTTGAAATTCATTTTCTGGATGATGGACAATAAGAATGGAATTTCCTTGATCTTTTGTGATTTCTTTTCTTATTTTCTTGCGATTTAATTTTATTAAACAGATTTTCGAGATGCTGCAAATTATTTAAAAAATTATTATATTCGTTTTTGTACAATTGTTTAATTTTTCTTTTTTCGGAAAATATTTGTAAAATTTTTGCGTCGTAAATAAACTTGTGAATTTTTTAATAATAGACATGAACGATTGAATCAAAAACAAAGGATGTTTAGCAAGGCTATTTAGAGAAAATATTATAAAATCTTTCCATAATAGTAATCGTTTCACAACTTCTAACAAGATTCTTCACGTGATTCAACATCCTTTTGGATCTATTAAAAATGATAATTAAAAACAGTTAAAAATAAAATTTTTACAATTTCCAATCAAAATATTTGTCACAATTTGTCAAGTATGTTAAAACCAAACTCTATCTTCGTTATTTTGCATATTTGATATTATTTCTTCAAATATATAGAATTTTATCACTAAAAAAAAATTGTTAAGATTAAAAATAAAATAATTTAAAAAATTTTTTGAATAATCGTTCGTAGTCACGATATATTATAAATATTTCATGTATTATATATCATTATATGTTAACATTTTAATATAATATAGATATCTTCCTGTCATAATGTTGTAATATTAAGTCATAAGTATATACATAACCTCAAAACGAAAACTCGTCTCATATCACGATCTTAAACGCATATTTAATAAATTCATGCTACAATAATTCGTAGTTCGTGTTCAATATATCTTATTATACATCATCGATCTTTATCTTTCGCTAAACATAACCTAGACTTTTCGTTTCCCTCCATTAAGATTATTAATATTAGTAACATCGATCGAATTTTATTTGCAAATTGAATTATGAAATCAATAATTCTTAAAAATTTATGAAATACGTATTACAAAATTTATTCAGGCAAATTCAAATTTAAATATTAATTATAACCCTCATATATTCAAAAGATATTTTTTTCGATATACTCACAAAAATATAAATTTAAATAAATATTCGTAATTATTATTTATCTTCCAACTGATTCATTTTTCTTTTTGCATTGCAAATGAATATTTTTCCTTACGAATTCTTTTTTAAATTTTTTTTTATCCTCTAGGTATACACTTATCGATCATTCGCGATTCATTTTTTGAAATTGTCTTAATGAGAATGACGCATAAAAAAGACGCGGTAAAAAAGAATTCTCTTCTCATTGACAATAAGTAGAACGCTAGAAAATGAGGTCAAGAAGTATGAACTCTGAGCGAAACTATGCATCTATTCCCCCAGCAACAATATAATATATGATAAAAAGCTACATTTATATGAAAGTTAAACTGAATGCTTCACATTTATGTGAAATCTGCTTTTTCATTTCGATAATATATTTCGTTCATTTTCACTTCTTAAATTTATATTATATGTATCTACACATATATACATGTTATGTAATGCTGAATATATTATAATCATTTTGCAATTGTAGATAAATCTTTGTAAAATTTTTATAATTATGACAAAGTTTTTACAAAAACGATATATTATATTTTATTGAATCTGTTATTTTTTTAAATTAACTATTTCTTTAGTGTATGAAAGCACCCATGTATTAAAAAAAAATTATAATAAATAAATATAATGTAGAGCATTAATCTCTGAAATATCATGATGAAATAAATATTAATTGCACTCACTGTATCTTAAGAAATAACTATCTAAGGTACAAGCGATTAACCTTTGATGATTTGTGTTCAACAGAAAGATTGATCGTTGACCAGTTAAAAAATGTACAAACCGATTTTAAAGCGATATACGATTCTTCGAACATCTATCAATTCTCATCGCTACAAGTTCGATGACCTACAACTCGAGCATGCAATAGAATATGCTACCGATTGCAAGCAGAGGGACGAAAAGTAATCCATCAACATCTTTCTGCTCTCCACTTTCGATTTCCAATACATTTCTCATGAATTACACACGCTTTCGTATGTCGCGTGTGCGCATACTTATACAGAATATCACTAATAATTATACAAATTGTGTAGTCAGTGTTATGTATCTCGAAAGAAGATCGTTGAATATTTTTCGTTCCATGGCAGACACTCAATTATGAATATTTATAACCCGGAGCTATTTTGAAAACTCTGTTCCACAACTTTTTCTTTTCCTATCGCGGCTACCATTAAAATAAATCTCTTTAAACAAAGATATTCCTTTATAATTTATGTGATAGAAACTAAAAAATATTTATTTATTTAAGATATTCGATGTTGTAAGAAGAATGATATAACGTTTTGTAATTTTTGAATTGTAACTTTCTTTTGTTTTGTTATGTTATATTTTGTTATATTCAAAAAACTCGTGATCCTTCTCTCTATATAAGTTGAAATCTTTTTCCGCTAAATTTTTTTTGTAAAATATTCAATTTCTATTTAAAGAGTTATATGTATATGTCACATGCATGAATATTAAGAGGTTAACATGGTCTTACTGCCGAACAATGACTGGCAATTAAGGACGTGCGAGCACACTAATATATTGAATACATTCGTCGTTCGGGTCGTGTCGGAAAAAGTCGGGCGGATTCGAGTGAGAACTCGTAATATACGAATTCGGATTTAATACAATACAAACAATTTGATTTTTCGTAATTATTATTTTATAAAGAAAGTGAATAAATTGAAAAAAAACGATATTGGAAAAAAAACGATAAAAGTATTTATTTAAAAATAAATTTCTCCTACTATTTCATGATGAAGTAAGATAAAGTTATTCGGAAGTTCACAAAAAGAAAAATTATTCATAACAGAAATTATTCAAAAGAAAAATTATTCAAAAGAAAATTTTTTTGATCTTGAACTTTGTTTCTTTATCAGATATTTCAATATAGCGAATTAAGAAAAATATATCCTATGAAGCTTAACTAACTTTATCAAAGATTATATATCTGTTTCTAGTACCAGGAAGGAGACAAACGATTAATCGATCTTGATCGCAGAACGGAGGCAACAAATTGGAAACGGTAGCAGCATTAAGGAGGGAATCAGAACGACTCGACGAGGAGAGGAGGATCCAGTATAGCTAATTAGCGTGTTACGGGCAAACGAGGGCCCCGATACCGTTACGTATCTCGCAATGCAATGCAAAATGGTAAGAGAGCTGAAACGATAATGATCTAACGATATACGCACATGTGAAACAAACGACTCTTCCGACGTCGACCGTGTGCTTTGACTCTTTGTGAGCTCGCTCTCACACCTTGACCTTCTTCAACCGGGAAGTTCTCCCTTCAAGGATATTCGCAATCAAAGAATGTTATAAGACAAAATTTCTCAACTTATAATATTCAATTTTCAACTCTTTTCAGTTCAAATTTGTTTAAAAGAAAAAGCTTCTTTATCAATTTTTTTTAAGGAAGATATAATATATAAAATTTGAAATCTTTAATATTTAGTTATTTAATAAAATTAGTTAAAGCATGAAAAATGAGTGAGAATGTTGTATCTTGACAATTTTAAATCTTCTAGAAGTTGTAATTAAGTACTTGTTGAGAATGCGTAACATTGTGAGTTATTTTTTATCTTTTAAAACATTTTTCTCAGACAATTAAAATTATCTCTTTTTTAACGTTTGTTTTAATTACATGAGGTCTAATGATTCTTTTGATTTCTTGATTTCCTGTATTTAATATTTAATGAAGTTGGAACTAATTTTAAATAATTTTTATTTTGATTCTTAAAAATTCGTAAATATATTTTTTATAACAAATTAATATTAAATTTTTTTTTATAAATCAAAATTTTCCCCTTTTTTAACTTCGATGCATTAAAATGACTATGAATAAATTAATTTTTGTAATAGAAAATTAACAAACATATATAAAAATAAACAGAGAATAAACTTCAAACTTTAAAATTTACAACTTATAATCCTAACATAATGTTTAATTTTCATTAAAATAATTTATGATTAAAATTATTATGAATACAGTACATATCTTCTATATCAATCTAATCAATCAATCAAAGTTAATTGTTTTTTCCATAAGAAAGTCAACATTCTACGACATATATATATAAATCATGAGGTTTCACTTAAATCAACTTTCCAATCTAAAATGCCAGTTCTAGATTATCAATACTAGTTCTAAAATAATAAAATATCACAGGATATGTTTGATTGATCGAACAAAAATAACGTTTTCGAATCGCGTATCAACTCTTAAAAATACATAGAAAGATTATATTGTAAAAAAAAGTTCAATAAAATAGAAAAAAATGGAAAACTCACCGGATGAGAGTTGATTCGCTGATAGCATTTCGTCTTCGCCAGGCTGAAGGCGAATTTCCATTTTTCGTAAACGCGAGTGCAGCTCTCTGGTGTGCAAAAAGAGGAACAGAGTGCTGGAAATGGCGATCAGCGCAATTAGCTCGATCGTCCTGAAAATAAATATTGAATGAAACAGTTGTTCCAATGAAAAGAAAAAAAAAGATTATATTAATTCGATACAAAAATTATCGATTTTTGATCCTTATTAGTAATTTTAATGAGTATCTATATTTTTAATAAATAATCTTTTCATCATTTATGATAAATTTATTTTTTTATTATTTTGGATCTGTATAAGTTATTCAGATGATCAATTATATAATATTTTTGTTTTTTTGAAAAATTTTAAATTTTGGCATTAAAATATTTAATATTTTAGACATCAAATAATTAATTTAGCTTCTATGTAGATTAGAAATTCACTATAATATTTAATTTATAGAGATTAAATTAATATAATATCTTTATTTTTTGAAACTTTATTATATTTACAAGTTACTAAAATTAAAGTATTTAATTATTAAAACACAAATAAAATATCCATTAACATTAACATTCTCAATTTATTCCACATAACAAAATGCTTATATTACAATTATATCAATTTCAAATTCTCTCATCTAACAACTATTTACAATGTAGATAAAGCTATCTACATTGCTACTTTCAAGATAGTCAAACATAAAATTACTATTACAAAAAAAAACTTTCCACTAAGCAAATAAAGGAAAAATAGCAAAATATTTAAAAAACACGAAAAAATACAGGAAAATATTTTCATAAAAATTTATAAATAAATAAAATGCAATTAGATCTTTTTGTATTAACATTTTCAATTACTATTTTTCCATTTAAAATGCTAATATCAATCTTAAGTATCTTTCTTTTACAACTATTACACTGTTACAATGTAAACACAAAGCAAATCTATGCTATCTACATTGGCACTTTCAAAACGGTCAAACATAAAATTACATTACTTCGCGAGAAAAGACTTTCCACGGAGCAAATAAAGGTAGAGCGGCCAAATATTTGAAAATGGATGAGGACACTTGTTTTCCCAAAGTGACATGTTACAGATTGTCTGACATGTGGGTTGTCGTCGCCAGAGGAAACAGGGCATAGCGAAGTCATCTATCCCGTAATTGATCATTCTGTTCGCGGAGATGTTTCACGTGCGACCTGGTTTCAAGCGATCCCTCGTCGACCGTAAAAGGACGACCTCCACTGAAGAGATACAAAATTGCACTTCTGATGATATCGTAGGCTGCTGCATTTTCTTCCATGCATGATGTTTGCCTCGTAACTTTGTGGAACAAATATAATTGTAAAATAAGGAATCAAGAGAAATTTCTCCGAAGAATAACGATGAATTAAAGTGTCTTTTCTCTACGTTGTCGACAAGTACGTGCACGGAAAATTCAAGAATCATCATTCCTTCGATGTTTGACTTTCATCGTATAGAGAAAATTCAGTGATGGTACTGTGAAGCCATCGTGCATTTTATTGCGATTTAATATCTTGAATATCAATTTAATTTGAAAAAACTTTTCACATAAATCCGATTTATGTTTCTTGTGCATAATAAACTATTTTTGTAATTCTCGAAATCTAGATAAAGAATAATTTGCATAAATAATATTTTTTACAAATCAAAGAATAACTGGCTGACTACAAGTTTCAGTTTAAAAAATTCCAAAAATTAAAATTAATTAAAATTTTAATCCTTGATAAATATGTATAATTTATTATACTCTACAATTTTTATTAAAATCAAGTTAAATAAATTTCCATTATTAAGCTAATTATATTATATAAATTAAAAACGAAATCTATTCTTTCATTTAATTAAATAAATTCAATAACTTTCATTAAATTTCAAACAGATTAACTGCTAAAACATAAAGATTGTCATGTCAATATTGATTTAATTCATGGGTTTCATTTATCCGTTATAATTATTAACAGTTATAGCAAATCATGATGGCTTGATAGAAAAATAATCCATTCATCGCATCAGAAGTTCTTTTTCCTCCTGCGCAGGAAGTAATCTCGTTAAATGTCGGCTGTTTGAATTTCTGCGATCGATAAACGTTCTGCATCTCATTGAGGATGCCCCTTTAGAAGCAGTATCCTGTCTACATCGTATCGATAAAACGTCATCCAAGATGACGTTCCTTTTAAACCGATCGGACATTGACACATATGCGTGACAGCATATGTCACGGAACTTCATAATGGTTTGTGATCGGTGAACTAGAAAAATCATTGACCGCCGGAAATTCCACTAGGTAAGCGATTTCTTATATGGTCAAGATGAGGGTTTGCAGAAGAAAGCATCTTTTTCTGTTAAATGAACTGGAAACTTGCATAACATCACTTTATTTATTTGAAAATATTTTCCGATTTAATTTTGAACTTGAAATTTTTGAAACTCAGAATACTTATTTTCTCGTTTTTTTTTTTAAGAATATTTTAAAATTTAAATTTTTTTAAATTTCGAATGTTTTTAATCTATAACTACTCGGTTATGCAATTCTTCCGAAGTTTTAAATTGCAAAAATAGCAAAAATTTCGAAAGTATGAAATTTATTAAAAAAAGTTTCAAAAAATTTCGAGATTTCAAAATTTGATTTTAATTTGAAATATCTCTAATATGAATTAGATTATTTCCCTACATTTAAATAAATGAGATTTTGTTGTACCTCGTAAAACTTTCAATAACTTTCATTTAGTAACATATAATTTAATTTGAACTCTGAATTGAAAACTGACTGCGGAGAGACCTCATGGGAATAGTTAAGAAGTTGAATTTCCAGATACCCTCATTATGCGCGATGGCCCTTCCCGCATTCCAAGTTATTTCATGGTCCTAAGAGCTTACGGTTCCCTCATGTTCGTGTGTCGTTGACACCGCATGTCGCGACCGATACCGTTCGTTTCTTGTTTTCTTTTATCTGGACATGCATTCATTTCTCCTGGCACGATTGTCTAGATCGCTTAGACATCCGAATGGTTTCTATACAGTAGATAAGATGCGCTTCTTCATGCCTATGGAACGTGTAACAGAGGAAAAGTTATGGTAATTTGCCGGTTAAGAACTACTAGTATACATTATTCTATATGATGGTGATGGAAATGCATATAAATCTTTAGTGTCGGTCATTTTTAGAAAAGAGATACTTTAAATTTCATATTTGAAAAATTAATAATTTGTGCATAAATTATCTATATTTCTTGTATATGCAGCATTATGCAATGAAATGTCTTTGATATGAACAATGCTATAATAAAAAGATTAATTAATAAAGCTGATTTTCATAAATATTTATTAGAGAACATTTAATTTATTATTTGGATTGATTCCTAATTCTTTTCAATATGAGTTTAAGGAATAATTATCGAACATGAAATCATTTTATGTTTTAAAATTCGAAAAATTAAATCAATGCAATCTAAACCTATTTTAACCTAAAAAAAATAAAAAATTCATTACCAATAGATAAATCTAAATTGCAATCCAATCTATTCTTCATTTCATTTTTTTAATTGAAAAATTTTATTCTCAAGTTTTTACGATTTGATATATTTCCCAGTTTATTTCCACAAACTGTTTACAAATGATTTCCAAGCATAGTGAAATATATTTGTAGGATTCGCTCACATCCTCGTTTTTTCTTTCATTTCTATTACCGTAAGAAGATCGTAGATAACAAGCGAATTCGTTTTCCTTGCTCAGGAAAATTGTCCGTGTCTAACGCAGGTGCAAACACTATAGAAGCTTCACTATGTATTTTTTTCCAACGAACGAATGCTTGACTCGCATGTTTTTAGTGGCAGTGAGATGGTTAGAACATCGCGAAAGCGCGAGACTAGCTTGTCGACACGCGAGTTACTTTAACATGAACTATATGTAGTTTGAACTCGCGCGATATCGTAAAAAGTAATAGCAACTGTTTTCACTTGAAAATATTGTTGTTTTGCGATTTAACGAAGCAAAATTTATTATGATTTTTTTATTCAGTTATTCTTACTTTTATTAACACGTCTTATACGATTATTATATGTATATTTCAATTAATTGATGACAGATGTCACTTGTGCACTAAGTGATTTTTGTTCATTTTGTTTATCTCGTACCCTTTCTTGTTCTTTTTTATTTTTGGTGCATCGTAATATGTAATATCTTAATACATAGTCACACATACATAGTCTTAATATATAGTTTTTAAAACATGAAAGATCATCTCTTCCTCTGCAGTAATATTATTGATAATATTATATACATTTTATAAGATTCTGTGTTTCATCAATCCATTACTTTGTGATTACTTTGTGATTATTTATTTTTTTCTTTTTTGGTGAATTTTTAGTGAATAAATTAAATTCATTATTTATAATACATAAAAATCGTGAATATAAAGAATTTTTGTCGTTCAATGATGTTATTTCTTAAATGTCATATGACAATTTATTCCATATAAATCTAGGTTTGATTTATTTTCTTAATAGTTTAATTATTATTTGGTCACTCTGTTTATCACTTATCACTTATCATTTATCTATAGCTGAAAAATTGTTTTTTTTCAAATTAACATGTATTGATATTGACTGTTTATGTAAGTAGATAATGGTGAAAAATCGTATAAAACTCAAAAAATTTTGAAATTTCTTTAAATTTTAAATATATTATACCTATGTTTAAATATCATAGTACAAGTATTATTGATGATTTAATACTAACACGCGAAAAATTAATAGCGAAGAAACAAAAATATCTACTAAACAAAAATAAGAAACAAAAATACCTAAGCAAATCAAATTTTAATGGAAAGTTAAATTATAAAGTTCTAAGTAAATGTTTCTGATTATTTTTTATTTCAAAACAGCTGATATTTAATAGAATAAATAATTTTATTGTAATATATTTTAAATTATATTGGAATTTAATTATATATATATTTAATTTAATTATAAATAAATTATGTTATTATATAGAACTATTATAATTGATATAATTATAGTGATATAATTATTTAATACATGATATAAATACATTTAAAAAAATCACTAATTCACACTAATAATAAAAAATAAACTCATTTGTTCCAATTTTAAATTAATAATTCTAATTTATAATTGTATATTTTGTTGACAATCTAATGATAAAGATATTAAGAATATGAAATAATGTTTAATAATGTTTTTTGTTAAAAGTAATATTTTTTTCTGAAGAAAAAAACATAAAGTAAACCATTTTAAAGAAAGGTTATACTCATTCTCAGTTACAATCGAGATTCACACGGATCAAATGATAAAAATCATGCTCCGATCAATCCTGTGGTTTTAGTTTTCCGGATTCCTATTTCGTTCGTGATGCAATCTCGTCGTCGATTTATAACAGACATTCTCGATCTGTTAGACTGATTCAGCGAAATATTAATTATCGAATTTTTTACCATCATAATGATATTGAAGATATTAAATTGATAAAGATATTAAAATCTCACACAAAATTTTTCATTTCTTATTTCAAATATATTTAATAATGTGTCCTTTTTCTTTCTTATTTCTTCTAGCTCTTACAATTAAAAAAATATTATAATACAATATTTTCATATGTAGTACAATATCTTCATATTTTACTCATATCTAACCTAAATCTAAAAAAAACAAACAATGCAAACAAATTTTTTTATATCCTTTTTAAATTATTAATAACCAGGAATGATCTTAGCACAAAAGCAATTAGTCAATAAGTTATCGTGACAGGTTGGAAAATCGTATCCGGTGAAAAACACGCAAATGGTCAATGTCGGTGAAACGAATCGGTCGTGATTGAAAGTTTAGACGTAGTGGCGTGACGTTCACCACGTTCAGTGAGAGTTCCCAGTAATAATAGTATATAACATTGTTGCCTTGAAAACCATCATCCTGCATGATACTGATATGCCATGCACGACTTTCGATTCCCGTAAATAGCTAAGTTAATATAACACAATCGTGTTCTCTTTAGATCTGGTCATTGACCTTGAGAATCGAAATAACTTACGAAAACGAATTCCGTTATTTTCATTACGGGTCTTTCGTTTTATTCGTAATTTAATTCCTAATACTATGATATTTTATATGCATTTAAAAATTTTTTTCTTTCTTGTTTTAAATCTTATCTCTTTTTTTTATTATGAGACAATTTCTTTTTCCTTAATCGTTTTATTTATAATCATGTTTTTTATGAGAATAATTATTAATTTGTATTTTTATTACTTAAAATATTGAAAGATTGATGGTATGACAATTGAATAAGAGATATAAATGCTTTTTATTTACGGAAAAATATCTTATAAAACGAAAAAATACAATTAACCCAATTTGTCGCAGGAACATAGATAATCTTATAATTATTTAAAGTTTTGCTGTAGTATGCTTTATTTACTTTTTGAATCGATAAAAAATCTAGTTATTTGCTAAGTACTAAAAATTAAAGGTTAATAATTCTATTTTAAAAGTAATTAATTTAATCTGTTTAATTGAAAGTTGAGAGAATTGAATAGTTTAAAGACAATTATGGGAAAAACGTAGGTTTTTTTTCATGAGAAATCCAGTCAGAGAAATTAAATGTTTAAAATAATATCCCAATGACAAATGAAATGACTTTAATGAAATTCTATTGTTCTAAATTTTCCAGACGGTTTTTATATATTTATTATTCTTGATGAAAATTATTTTAATTCATAATATAACTGAAAATATTGAAGATTTAAAGATAATTAAAAAAATAAAAATTAAACTTTTCAAATATATTCACATCTTAATGATAATAATGATAATAAATTTTAATGATAATAAAAAAAATGGCAAAAAGAATAATTATGCTATTGTGATGTTAAGCGACTTACATGAATTAATATGAAATTCGATGAAAAAATTTAGAAAAAAAGAAATGTCGAGGTTCCTATTCACTTTTATAGTATCATCTTTTTTATAGTAACTCATTTAGAACTAATATAAACTAATAAACTTGTTTACATTGAAATTTCGAAAGATGATGTTTTTTGATATTCTTTTGCGATTCTTGCTTTTGTAATTTAATTTTAGTTTCTTCATATCACTGTAAATAATAATAAATAAATTATAATATTACCATTGAAAATGAAAAATTAAAATAGAAAATAGAATATTCAATATTATCTTTTTCATTTTAATCTAGTTTCATTTTAACATTATTATTAAAATGAAGCCAGAATTTTGTAATTCTGAATAATGAAAGAAAAAATCATGCATTTTATCGTCTAACAATCATTAAATTATAATTTATTAAAAAAGTAATTTATTAAAATAGCTAAATAATATTTGTTTTTGGCGATATTTCAATTTTCTAACATCATTTTAACGTTATTTCAAATTTTCTTCAATTTTTTTTCAATAAAATTTCTTTTAAATTTTTACAGAGATTTTTATACGAAAAAAAAATAATATCAAATTTCTAAAATAGTCAATCAATTGTTCATGATTCTTCCATAATTCCTATTATTTCAATATCCAATCAATGTAATGGATCACGATTTGTTCTGTGCAGTTATACAGGCTCGTAAGATAAGATAACCTCAAATCCATTTTGCCGAAGTGATGCATCTAAATAAATTAATAATAATAATAATAAAAATTAAAAATAATAAATTCACTTAGGAATACTTCGATTTATCTCTCCTCTTCGATGGAAATTTTTTAAACGAGATTTGAATAATTATTCTGCACGAATTCATTGAGTAATGGGGCGAAGATTTTGTGTTAAATCGTAGACATCGTGGGAACAAGGCTCGTTCTAAATAATTTCCGGTTAATCCTCCTTTAATAATTATTCGCATCAAATTTTAAAAGACATATTAATTGAATAGATAAATTATTTTACTATAAAGAATAAATCTAGAATTAATTTAATCCCCAATCTTTTTTTTTTAATTTTAATTCTCTAAAATCTAATATTTTCTTGAAATTCAAAAAAGATCAATTAATTATAATTATAATAATTACAATAAAAAATTAAATTTTAATTAATATTAAGTTTAAAAAAATATAAATTTTGTAAATATATTTATAATTTCTATTTAACATAATTTATCAAAAATATTCTGTTATATATGTACATATATTATAACGAATTGTTGCATTATTAAATCAATTTTATGTAAAAAATATTTATAAAAATTTTATATATTCTTATTAACAAATTTTAATTATTTATTATACTCTAATATCTTTTACTTATTTATATCCTAATACCTTTTTACAATATCAATAGAAAACAATTTTCTTCATTAGGTATATACATGAAACCTAACCTTAAAAAATACAAATTGATCTTTTCTGTTGCAATAATCAAATATTAATGCGATACATTCAAACAAATTTGCAATCACAATCTTGAAATTGAAATTCTCTCTTCTTAACACTTCATCAAAATTTCAATCGATTTCTTTCTATAACAAATCAATACTATCGATATTCTTGTTTTTCGTTATTAAATCATCTTCGTCCGTTAGCTATGAGTTCTTTCGAGATAGAGTTCACGATAGAGGTCTATTCAAGTTGTTAATAATTTATAAGCCACCGAATCAAAAAAAGGAAAAAGCCAATCCTCTACTGTAAATCCAATTCATTTAATCACGAGTAATAGCAAAAGGAAGGATACACGTATCTATTAACAGGAGTCTGCATTTGAATGCGTCGGTATTCCGAAGTTAAGTATTTTAACGCGTCGAATACTCAGTTGATAAATCGATTTCAGGCACGAGATCTCTAATCTCACGCTTTGTATCTCGATGACGCGATTCATCGAACGTTTCGATCCTGATAGAGCACAATTGAAATGCGTATGTACCTATATCGGGAGATTAAGATGAAAATTCAATAGATTATTTTTCGATTGCATCACTCCATAACGAATTATCATAATTCTAGAGTTGTTTCCATTTCTAGAATTTCGTTGCATTGAATATTCAAAATGAAATTTATCGAAAAATTATTAAAATTGAAATTCGCGAAAAGTTTAAATATTTTTTTTATTATAATTTTATTATATTGTTATTATATTTTGTTATATATATGTCTTAATATTATCGAACATATTTTATATAATAAATAATTATCAATTATAAGAATAAGAAAATCTTTCAATAAAATTTAATTAATATTCTCTTCATAAAATTTAAATTCTTTCTTTTAAATAAATTTACTTTTTTTAAATTTAAATTTTAAAAATTCCAATTCGATAATTTTCGCGAAATATTTAATTAAAATATTTTTCAATTTGTTTTATACTAGAAAGAGTTTAAAAGTCAAATTATATTTTAAATGATCGAATATTTTTTATTATATCTAAATCATACGATTAATAACCAATCAAATACATAACAACAATAATCAAATTCAAATTCAAACAACAAAATCAAATTCATCGATAATTAAAATCACAAATTCAAATTCAAACAATTCTCAGAGCGAAACAAAATGAAATAATATCGATTAAAACGAAATCGACCAAAAACAAAACTCACCTTTTCGGAACAGGCACCCGCCTGTGCTTCCACGCGTTATCGTTCAGCATCATGTGCATGCGCGCGCCTCTTCCTTTTCTTCACTCTTGTGCTCGAAGATCGATCAGTTAACAATGGCGCGGCCCTTCGATCGGATCCTCAGATCCGAGACGTCCAAACGCGACTCATCAAGCTGGAACGAGCGTCGATCGGACTCATGTAAGCGGACGAGGCAAACGTTCTTCTCCTTTCCACCGGTTAACCGGATCCACGCGGTTTTATCGTTACCAATCGATCACTGAAACTTGCAACAGCCACCCTGCGATTCTATCGATCTCGCACACACGTTATTTCGTTAATCATTCATACTCGATTAACTTGGATTTCGATTTATTTCACTTTGAATAGTTCTATATATTATTGATATTATTGATATTATATTATTGATATTCTTTATTAATAAACAAATTTGTAGCGTAATTCTCTTTGTCGATTAAATGTATACATATAAAATTGATAGTATCTGATTAATTGTTGATCTTAATTCTTTAATTTCGATTCTTTTCAATTTTTAAATATTGATATAGAGTTATATTTCAATAATACAATAAGACTTCTACGTATAATTCCAAAATAATAATTCCAAAGGATAAATAATAAATTCGATAATGAAAGATTTTTAATTCAAAGAAAGATTTTTAATTCAGAAATTCAAAGAATTGATCACGTACACGAGATTCAAAATGGTTGTACAATTTTTTACAACGAGTTTCTGTGATGAATTTAAAAGAATGAGTACAACGCGAGGCACAACAGCTGACTCTGTGACGGAGAATAGGAAGAAGAGGATTGAAGTTCTATATAGGAACGACCGGCTGGCTGGTCAGCACGCGACTGACGAGCGGCAAGAATATTCCGCGCGAGAACACCGCTCTCGTCAACGAGGAGACGACACGCGATACGCTCTGCTCCGCGCCCGCTCCGTTACTCAGCCCGCTCGTAATGCGATTCTACTCCACATTCGCCCGGTGCCGCCGCCACCGCGCTGGCCCTCTCCAACGACCTCTTTCGCCACGAGAAAGGCGCCACTTTCCTGGAAGATCGCCGCTGCAAAAAGGTGTTCGACCCCGAACTTGCCTTCGATCGTAGAAATCTGACAGAGGTTCAGGATTTCCCATCGTTTTTCTTTTTTTTTTTTTTTTTTTGTTAAGTAAACAAAAATCTAATTTAATCTAATTTAATCAAAAAAAGATCCTTTTTTAATGGTCTTTGAAAAACTAGATTATCGATAATTTTTCTTGAATCATTTTCTTTTTTCTTTTTTTATTATTATTAGGTAAACAAGAAATAATCTTTCATTTATTATAAAGAAAATATCCTTTATAATATCCTTTATATAAAGATTTAATTATTTTTCCTGCAGTCTTTTTGAAATAAGAAAGTTTTATTATTTTTCTTGATTATCTTGAGATATTTTATAACTCGATTAAATCACAGCATGTTTGAATTTTAATTTTTTTATGAAATTGTTTGTGAAAATTTGATGAGTTCTAGTGAAACGTTTGTATATTAGATTATGACTATTTTATGTCTTGCGCCATGTTGTCCTTTTTAGTTTTTTTTATTATTTATTTCTATTTAAAAATAATACATAAAGATGTTTTAATTCTAGAATATACGTAAATTTGCGATGTATTCCCATTAAATCATTCCTAAAAACTTGATAGATCGCGAAATAGTTCATGGAAATTTCAAAGAGTTTTGTTTTTATTCCAAAGAGAATAACGTTAGTCTAAAATTGAAGATATATCGAAATTCAATTATATTTAACATGATACCTTTCGATTTTTTCATTGTTAGCGATGCTAGAGAATCATCTCGTCTTATAATCAAATATGACAATTACAAATATTGCAAACATTTGCAAAAATATTTTTTCATTTTTTTCGAATATTCTTTTCCTATTTCTTCTTATTTCCTTTTCTTCTTTTGCAAATATAATCGATTTTTTACACATACATCATCATCACCTATAAGAGCTAACACGAAGCAAAATGAGCAGCCAATAAGAAATTTTCGTGCATCCATGCCTGTCATGATTAGACATGATTAAAATTATAATTTGGTTTAATGAATGACGGTGATTGCACGCTACGTTAAAGCTCTTAATAACACGTCTGTCGAATTGTTGAATTCGCCGTATACTGCATGCATTTCATCCTTTTTATAAATCATGCAGAAATTTTTAGCCACGGATAATTAACATTAATTTCCAATGTAAATCATAATTCTCGTTAGCCGTTTTGATCGTAGCAATTATATCAATTAGATTCGATTGAAAAGTAATTAATTAATTAATTAATTAACAGAATTTGTGAAACGACTCATCGTAAATTCGTAAATTTTACAAAACAATTTTAGTTAAATCAATATAAATAAATAAATCAAGTTTCAAAGCAGAAATGGACAAAATTTTAATGGTTGAATTAAAAATAAATTTCACTAATTTATCATCAATAATTTATTACTCAAAACATTGAATGAATAATCGTTAAACAGTCGAAGTTATATGAAGAGCGAATTCAACTATAATAGTTACAAATAAATATTATTCAAACATTTTAAATAAAGTTATTATTTATTTGAAATTTTAACTAGTTATTTTTTTCAATGAATTGGTATCCAAACTCTGTTATAGACTGGATATAGACATGGATATAGACACATTGAAAAATATCAACAGAAAATTTTTTCATTTTATAGGTTATGAGCGGTATTCAATATTTTGAATTTTTCGCATTATTCAAAAAAAAAAATAGTTAATAATCAATTCTTTGCAAATTTTAACGCGAAAAAAATTATTCAAACTAATTTAATTAAATTTGAAGAAATTCAAATCGTTCACTTTGATATTAGTGGAAATAAAATAAAATAAAATTTTCTTAGTCGAAACTCGTGCGATTCATTGATTCTACTTGCCGATTGTAAAGTCGATTCTCACGGGTGTCGTAAGAAAAACGGGAAACGATCATTGCAAAATAATTCATGTATCCTTTCAGTATTCGAAGTCTATCGGCGGTATGTATACTCATGCACTGTATCCGATCTCGAAAAGCAGACGTGCAAACTTAATTAACTCAACGCCAACTGAAGGTACAACTTTTTTAGATGTTATGTACATACTATGTACAAGGTGATTCTTTCTTAAAGTGGATTCTAAAGACAATGTTTAGTATTTATGCTTTCATCTTCGCTTAGCTGTACCATTTGAGCCATAACGATTAGTTTAATAATTATAATGTATATACTTTATATATTTTTTCTTTCATTCTTTTCTCAAAGGAAATTTTTGATAGAATCTAAATCTATTTTTATCTCTCAATCAAGTCGAAAAAATTATTCTGATATAGGTTAATGATAATAATGTTTTGAAATGTTATAAACTTTAGAATATACAAAATATTTCTCTCTCTAGAAAGCAATGCTATAATGCTTAAATATCAAGATAATAATTCTTTATGTACAGTGATTTTTTTTCGATGAAATCGATAAAAAAAAATGATTAAAAGCATTATTTTATCATCAATTAATGGCTATTCTTAATAGCTATTCTTAATGGAGACGATTGTATTTGCAGCATTACGAACTGTATACTTTTCTGCTTACTAATTTCGAAATCAATGCCATCACGTAACGATAATTCTTTATATACAATGATTCATTGAAGAAAAAATCAAAATTTCTATTCTCTCATTTGATTGTCAATAACGATTATTGTTAGCGAAGATGATTGTATTTATAACATATACAAACTGTATAAAGAATTCTCTAAATTATATAAAGAATTCTCTAACTCAAAAACAGTATTCCATACTTTTACAACCTTTTACATATATAATGATTTGTCAATAGACAGACCAAAATCATCATCTAATTAACAATGCTATTGACTTTGCTATTCATTAGCAAAGTTGATTTTATTTTGTTACAGTTATTACAATTGTTTTCGAATAGAATTCGAGAAAATCATCTCATACGTAACCGTGAGAGAACTACGAATCTCAAAGCTTTTGCCTACCCTTGTAACAACGTAATAACCGCGATCCGCTGGAATCCAGTGGTTCTCACCTCCGCGACGTGCAAACATTTTTTCCAAGTTCCGGAAGTACATCGACCCCGTTGGATGGGACTTTACCGTCTTCTCCTGCCTGGTCACGAACATTTCAAATTGGTCGTAGAAATACCGTGTGCCGTCCAAGGATTTATCTCTCCTGCAGGAACGAGTATACCTTCGAGGATGCTCGTCGAACCAAGTCAATTCACTTGACAATACAATGGTACGAAACGTAGGGCGAAATTCTATTTGCCATTTGTAAGTTCTAATGATGAAACGAAAATTAGTTTTTATTAAAATATGAATTTTTATAAGTCAATGAAAATTATAGTATTATATAAAAATGATTTGTAAAAAATTTTACCTAAAAAATAAATTTATTTAATATTTTATGCATTTTCAACTTTTTTAGAGAAATTGGAATATTTCTATCTTCTAAATATTCGATTCCAAGTATGATCCATTCTGTTATGATGAGAGATCAGATTTTATCAATTTTCATATTCAAATCGAACGATTTTGTACATAGGGAATACTCGTTTATCGAATCTTTCCACGTAACGATCACAAACGTACCTCGATAAAGAAGCAAAAGAAACTTGCCGCATATGGTATCCTCGTGTGTATACACATCCATTTCTTAGCGAACTTTAAACGCATCTGTATTCCAAACATATTCCACTATACTTGAAATATTTATGATCTTCACTTTACGTTCGAACCATTTTGTTACGAAACTCAAGACCACACAATTTCATTAGCAGTTAACACATCTTTTGTTCGTTGTAAAAACAGTATTTATCACTTTTTATTCGAAATAAAAATAAATGCTAAAAAAAACATATGTACATGTTAGAAATGAATTCTTATCTAAAACAATTTTAATTTTGTTCAGACAAAAGTGTTTAATAACAATAGACTTAATCTAATATATAATTTAATCTAACTTACAATTGTTTATTAGCCACTTGTTTATTAGTCTAAGAATTAGATTTAAGTTAATATATTATAAAAATTGCAATAATTTGAATATTACCTAAAATCAATAAACATTTCAAATTTTATGCTTGATTTTTCAAATTTTGACTGTAACATATAATAATAAATAAATTTATTTAATAGAAAAATCTTTTAAAATAATTCTAGAATTTAGAATATCAAAATGATTTGATTGTTTCAAATAGTGATACAAAATAAAAAATGAACTTGAAGAAAAAAACAAATTACCGAAGTATTATTAATATACTTAACTATATTCTTTCTCTTACTCCTTCATAGAGAATTTTTCTAGCAAATATAATCATGACCCATGAATTGAAACTTAACCTCAATTTTTTAATGGATCAACTTTCATCCAATTGAAACAAAATTTTTCAACGAAAAATTCTGCAAAAAGAAATTCTCATTTTGAATAAATCGCAAACCTTACAAAGGCCGAGTTCCTCGAATAGATTGAATCAATAATAGATTCGATTCGATTCAAGGATGGTCGCGAAGCTTACCCATTCGTACATCTCTTCCTATTCCATGACAGCCGATACGTGACGAGATTTCGCCTCTAATAGCTAACCACAGCCAGTTTTAACAGAAGTTCCATGAACTTGTTGTTTGCAGTTTCTTCTTTTTGTCCTTTTTACCACCACCTCCCACTCAAACCGTTCAATCGTCTTTACATATATCCAGGATACGTGTGCGTACACGAGGATCTATGGAATCTTCGCGAACACACGTGAAATCCACAGGGTATAAAAGCTTGCAAGACCTGTTTTCGCGATTGCTCGTGTTCCAAGGAATCCTGTTGCGGGAGAACCACGTCCTAGGGAGTGGACAGTTCAGGACAGTCCTTTTCGGTCTACAGTTCTAGGTACACCGTTTCAGGAATTCCCATTGCTCGCGTGACTAAGGTAAGGAAACGTATTATTGACAAGATCTTTCCTCCGTGATGTTGTTTGCTATGCTCAGTGGCTAAGTGAAATCTAAAATAGAAAAAAGATTATGGTTAGTAAATGTAAAATAGTTCATTATTTAAAAGATTTGCATAAATCTTATTGACAAAATTTTTTTTCTGTAATGTAATACTCTTTGCTATGTTTAAATAGCTAAGTGCATTTTAAAACAGACAAATAGTATAGAGTTAATAAATGTATAATAATTCATAATTTTCAGGATTTACATAAATGTCTAATCTCAGTAAAGAAACGTATTAACAAGATTTTTTTTCTATAATATAATTGTTGTTATATTTAGTGATTAAATATATTCTAAAATAGGTAAATAGATATATGGTTAATAAATATATAATAGTTCATTTGGATAATCTAAATAAAAAAAAAATCTAAATAACATATTATTGATGAATTGTTTTCTCTGTGATGTAATTGTTTAGTTTTTCAATAATTATTCTAAAATAGATAAATAATATATAATTAATAAAATAGTTTTGAAGATATTAATAATTTACATAATCGAGGTTTAATCGTTGGATTCTTTTCTCTATGATGTAAATATTCTAAAATAAATAAATAATATACGATTAATGAAAGTTATAATTTGAAAGATCTCGATAGTTCACGTGAGTGAATTAAGAAAACATTGGATCTTTTCTCCATGATGTAAAATTGTTTACTGGTTATTTAATGGTTAAGTCTATTTAAAATAGATACAGTTGAGTAATAAATTGTACATGATAGTTTGATAAAAGATTGGAGATAACAGAATATGTAATAATTACTTCCTTTTATTTTCGATTAAAGTTCCTCAATGGAATAATAGAGATGTCTTTTTTCTCCATTCATCTGGAAATAAGAATTTTAACAATAATAAAAAAATATTTATCATTTTAATATTTGGAATATCTTTTAGCAAAATTTAATATTATTCACAATGTCAAATTGAAAATTTTGCCAAATAAACTATATAATATCATTCAAACTTTATTTTAATATATTTTTCGAACATCGAACATTTTTAAGACAATTATTCAAATATTAATTATGCAGTTATCTAAAAAAACTGATTATAATATTCATTTATAATATAATAATTACTGTCAAAGAATTTTATCAATAATATTTAATTCTAATTTTTAATTTTAAATTTCCATCATCTTTCGATAAATTAAATTTAGAAAAATTAATATTCAGAATTAGATATTAATTTAAATAAAACATAATTAGAATTATAATTAGAAAGAAACTCTATCGTAAATAAATTTTATAATTCTAATTATAAATCCTTCAACACTTATTTTTCAACAGCAATTACTTTCCAGCGTTTAGCATCCCATCTTACCACCAATCCTATTCGCGCCATTAAAAAGAACAGTCATCGAAAACAAATAAACAGGGCTTCGTAACATTCGATTTTAAGAAGTAGTAGAACCGGTTATACTATGCATGCAGTGATGTAAGTTTCCTTCGGAAGAAAGGATAAAGGGTTATGGCAGTTTCAATAATCTCATTATACCGGATCATCTATTATACCAGATCCATAAATTCATCTAAAAAAAATTATTATTTTTCAAATTTCGGAACGTATTAAGCGTTCGTTTTCTTCTTTTCAATAAAGCCTCATATCGGTGAAATTATTCAGCATATATTCACTGTTCGACGATTTTGCATATTTGTGCACGTAAATGTCTGAAATAAATTTTCATATTTTTAAAATAAAAGAAATATTTGTAATGTAATGAAATATCGATTTTATGACTATTTTATTCTTCATCATTTTTATTGATTATTATATTAGTACTTAATTTTTTATCTGTAATTTTGTTTTACATTTCTTTGCTGTAAAATTTATACATTATTTATTCATTTCTATTATTCATCATTTACTCTCCTCTTTTATTGATTATCATCTCCTCTTTTATTGATTATCAAATCATTATATAATGATTAATCTAGGAAAAGAAGAATTTTTTGAATTATATACATACGTACATGTTTTGTTTTCATTCTTAGAAAAATTATAATTATAGAATACGTTACCAAAATTTAACCATCTATTTTTAAAGCACATCTATATACCAAAATAATAAAATAAAGCCGTAGAAACCATAAAAGTTACTTTTTCTCCAGGTATTTACGATGTTATTTACCATACTATTCCTTCCTTTGGTGGTTGCCGCGCCAACTAGTAAGAGTTACATCCTGGATATCGAGAATGGAACCCTAAGGAACGTCCTATTTCACAGCACACCCCTCGAGGAACTCGATTTATCTGGCTTAGGGATTCGTCACCTGGAAAAGAACGCCTTAGACAATGTATCCACGTTAAAATGGTTGAGCCTCGCCAACAATTCTCTCGAATCCCTTCCAGAGTTCATGTTTTCCAATCTCTCGAATCTGGAGTACCTCTCCTTAGCGGAGAACAATTTGAAGAACCTGGAATACCTCTTCGTCCGCTTGGAGAAGCTTCGAGTGTTAAACATCTCTTGCAATCCCGTGCTTCATCTTCGCAGAGGACATTTGTTCGGTCTCACGAAATCGACCACCATATTGACCGAGGGAAATAATCTTTGGAGTATAAGTACCGGTACGTTCACGAATTCGTTTCTGAAAGACGACGAGGAATTGAAGAATTTAGAGAAGATGAAAGCCGAGCTTACCATGATCCAGACGACAGAGAGTACGGAGACGGAGATAGAATTAGCATCAGAACGCAATGCGTTGAATGGTAATATGCCGACCACAAAGAACGAGATATTGAAAGATCAGAAGCTGAAATTGTGCATGCCGAATAACATAGTCCTTTCTATAGAACCGCTCGAAAACAATTCGGTGGCGAATGGATGCTTGGAGATACCTGTGAACAAAGAGAAAAGATCGGTCAGTTTGCAAGGATTAGGAATCAAAGGATTCCACGAAAAATGGTATCAATTACAATATCTTCCGATAATTTCCTTAGATCTGTCCAACAACGAGATCACGGAGATCACGAAAGAATTGCTTAACGATCTTCCCGAAGATTTGATTTATGTGAACTTGAGAGGAAATAGAATCAGATGCATATGGAGCCAGGTGATCGAAAATAGACATTTAAAAATCTTGAATCTTAGCAATAATTTTCTGGAAAAGATCGAAGATGGTGCATTGGCGAAGACGAACCTAACCTCTCTGACGTTCTTCGAAAATCAATTAGAAAGTCTCTCGTTCGTTTCCAGTTTGCCCAGTACTTTACAAGTTCTCATATTGGCAAAGAATCGATTTTCCTCCATCCCTGATAGAACATTCGTGAATCTGCCTAATCTGATTTATCTGAATTTGGTTAACAATCAGATCGAAAGACTTCAGAATGATATTTTTAAAGGATTAGATTCGCTTCAGATTTTGATTATCACTAAAAACAGATTGGTGGAGATCGAACGTGATGCATTCAACGGTCTGAAGCAATTAACTACTTTGAATTTTTATCAAAATTCTTTGAGAGAACTTCAAAAAGGAACTTTCTCGGGACTGGAAAATTTGAAAGATTTAAATTTAAGCTCGAATAAGTTACAAAAGATCACCGCCGATATGTTTGCAGACTTACCACAAAATTTGGGATATCTTCACATCGATTTCAATGAGATAAACAGTTTGGAAAAGGGAAGCTTCGTCAATGTTCCCAGATTCACGTTGTCTTTAACTGGAAATAAAATCTCAACCATCCCAAGTGGAACTTTCGATCTACCTACACTTAGAGATCTTTATTTAAATAATAATACTTTGACGATGATCGACGGTGACAGCTATGAAGGATTGCCTCAGTTGAAACATCTTCTGTTGATAGAAAATCAGATTAATGAAATACCGAAGGGTTCTTGCAAGAATTTAGCCAGCTTGAGTATATTGAACATCTCGAGAAATCCGATTCAGAAACTGCAAAATGGAGCCCTCTACGGATTGAGTTTGGCAAGAGGAAATTCCATATATATTTATGAAAATCAGCTGAAAGAGATTCAAGGTGCATTATTCGAGGATATCTAATGGAATGACTCATTAATGATTTGATTAATGACTTGTATATTCATTTATTTTAATTCTTATGATTTATGTAAGAATCATAATTCGATATGGAAATATTGAGGTTAAGATATTCTTTCATACAAAAGGATCTCTTTTTGTGGTTTTGCTTTAAATACATATGTAAGTAGATGTTTCTGATAGTTGATAGTTTCATTTTTTGCTGAGTTTCTAGTATCTATATTATAAATATTTATAATTATGCATTGCTTTATACGTCTGTAATCTTCGTTGATCATCACTGTACGATATGAATTATTTTTCGAAATATAAGAACTTTTTCTTTAAAATAAAAAATATAAAAATTTTTAAAGATTATTAATCGATATAATTTTATAATTATACTTAATCTAAGTATCTTCAAAATCTTTTTTAATATAAATTTTTTTACAATTGTTGAATGGTAGCAAAGCAATTTTTGTCAAAATATAAAAAGTATATTGCATATCTCATCTAATCCATGAAAAAATGAAAAGACAAATAATTAAAAAGAAATAACAATTTAATACTATATTAATTTCGATGAAACCAATCAAAAAACAATATAACCTAATTCACTGATACATAAACAACAGATTTCATTTCTATTGTGTAATACCTTAACGACATGATTTGTGATTAGATTTACAAACAATAGCTATACATCGAAATGATGGCAATCTTGTATAATAATACATAAATCTTCAAATATAATCACATAAATTTAATCTTAATTGCGCGTAAACTACTATAAAGAAAAGAAGCAATCTCATTGCAACGCCATCTTCGTTTAACGATTAAAGGCTTTCAAATTCGGTATACGTATTCAGCCGTGAAAGGCGACCATTCGATGGTCATCACTGGTAATTTTCATAAACTGGTTACTCGGTGTATTCGCTTTCTCCCAAGAATACGTTTAAGTGCGCTACATGGATAGACGTATTAAATGTAAATGCACTATAAAATATTGTGGTTTACGACCAGTTAACCTTGACTTCTATGAGAACTTAGAATCACAAAGTGGTGACCGGATTTTGAGGAAAATCGACACACTTCTCGCAATCGTTTTCAATGTTTTGCTAAACGATTCGTGGGAACAGGAGCACAACATAGTTTATTATTTGAATTTGATTAGAGGTGGGTTTAATATTGATTTTTATGTTGTTAAAAATCGAATTCAAAACTTTGTAAGATTTCAAAACCTAGGAAATGATTTTATTTTGTAAGAAAACAAAATTATTAATATCTATATTATTTATTATTAATTATATTATCTACTATTTTGTAAAAAATTTTGTAAGAAAACAAATATTGTATCTTGAAAACTGAGTTTTAAAAGACTGAAGACATTTTTGCATAAATCTTTATTACATGTGAATCGAATATTTGGAAATGGATATTTTGAAAATGACTATTCATCAATTTTATTTTTTTTTTTTTATGTGATTTTTTTTTTTTTTATGTGATTTTTCGGATAATAAGTACAAAGTTTTAAAGTTTCCTAATAAGAAATGGATCTCTTTTTTTTAGGTTAGATTTCAAAATTCAAGAAATCTATCTCTAGATTTAACTTTGCAATGATATATTGAAGTTTTTATTATTGAAGTTTTTATTCATTTTCATTATTGTATTGTAAAATTATTGCAAATATAAAATTTATATAATTTTTCTCGTACATTTAATCATCTAATTTAAAAATACATCGTTGAAAATATACAACAATGAATTTTTTTAGAATTTATTATATTATATAAACATGCAAAATCTGAAAGAATCTAATATACCATTTAAAAATTATTTGCATAATATAAATATGTAAAATATATGATAAATCTGAAAAGCTTTTATATGCCATTTGATGGATTGAAGAAATACGCAGAATCAATGCGGTGATTACAGAAATTGCAAAAATACAATAATATCATTATATTATTCTCATTATTATTATAATTATCAATGAATCAACAACAATATTCAGAAAAATTTCAATTTTGAAAAAACTTGATCACAAAACTTTTATGCAAAAGATAATATAATAAAAATTAATTCGAAATAATAACTTTCGAAATAATAACATGTTTCCTGCAATTAAAAAATTATATTTTTGAACAAAAGAAAAATTATCGTTAAACCTCTTAATTAAGATCAAGATGTATTATTGTATTATTTGAATTATTATTACGATTTTTGATGGATCAACAACAATGCCGCAGAAGTTTCGCTTGAAAAAGTTGTCATAAAGCTTCTTCGCGAAAGAATGGATTTTGACAATATCATAATCATCATAATAAGCCAGAGTTATTACCAAGATAGATCTCTCCTGTCATTTCAATTGTTACAAAAGACAAAAATAATATATATATAGTTGCTATGGAAATCTCTATTTGAATATATTTACTTTGAATCTTATGCTTTATATTTAGTAATTGTTATCTAGTTATCTTTTATTTTCAAATATTCGAGACAATTCTAATAGTAAAAATCTCTATAATTATATTAGTAATCATATGATTATTCTATATTTGGTATTTACTCTTCTCAATCAATCAATTCAATTATCTATGATCAAAAATAAACCTTTTAAATTTTTTGTAAAAGAAAAAGATCTATTCTATAATTGATATTTTGAAAAGTCATAAAGTATGATCAAGTATGAAGATTTTATTTTAGTTAGAGAAAAGAGGAATAGTAGATTACTGATTATAATTATCATATATGAATATATGTTATACATTTAGAAATATTATTTTATAACTCAAAGTATTTCGATTTCTATAAATCAAAATTACATTATATATATATATATATATATATATATATATATACCGGTTCATATTTTTCTCATCACCATTTTTTTGATTTAGTAAAAAGAACTGATTCGGTCTTACATACTAACTGGCATTCGTTCCGTGACGAAGGTCCCGAGCAATTTCGTGGCACTGACATTGCACACCCGTATATTTTCCGCTTCCGGTTTAGTCAACGGTAATTTCAGGGTTATCGAACGTGTGTCTACCAGGACTACCATTTGATATCTCTCTGATATACATAAGTATATTATAGCATTTCATATGTATACAGAAATCAAAGAGAATCTTCGACTAGTGATGGGATTGAGTAAGTTTGAACATTGATTCAAATCTTCTATCTATAAGTTATAAGTATTGAATAGAATATATTGAAAGACCTTTAGATTTGAATATAAAATAAAATTATATTATAAATCAAATATTATTTTTAGTTACAAGTGCAAAAATAAAAATAAAATTATAAAAATATAAAAATTTTTTTATATGATGATTTATTATATTATAGGATTATCTATTTGTTAAATAAATGGATTTGATTCATATTTATAAGTACATATTGAATTTGATATCATCACTATTTTCGATCAAATAATAAAATTTGTCAAATATCTTTTATAAATTTATTATAATAAATATATATTTTAAATATCACATTTTTTCATGTTAATTTGACATTTAATTAAATTTATATTTCACTTAATGTTACAAATGTTATATATATTCTTTATTAAAAATTTTGGAGAAAAAAATATAAATTCAAAAAAAATATTGAAATACTATAAAAAAATATATTTAAAATATACGATATATTTTTTTGTTAGTTACAAATTTATTATTATTATTATTTAATTCATAATTTCACAATCAACTAATTTGAAATTATTATTATAAATTTATATATAATACTTTCAATTAAAACAAAAATTTTCACTGTAATCAATATATATATATATATATATATCAATTTAGAGCATATTCACATATATGGATAAAATTGGAAGAAATTAAGCGGAAGTAAAATATTGAAAATTAAGTAGGGCACCGAACTCATGACTAAAGCACAGAAAAAAAAAAAAGAAAGGATGCCATCGAATCTCGAACGAACATTGGCCGGAGAAAATGTATAACTTCGCGGGAGAAAGGTCCAAAAGCCGGGTTCGTTGGCCTTCCTCTTCTTCCGAACATGAGTATGTAATATCCATAAACCATCTCTTAGTGTGTAATATTCAAGATTTAATGCGAATGAAAGAAAAAAAAAATATATTTCATGAAGATAGATATTGATCGTAAATGCTGTCAAATGTCAATTCAATTAAGAATCTTTGAAATATTTAAAATGTTTCGCACCAAATTGAATACCAAATTTCAATTATTCATGTATACATAGTTAGTACATATTACATAGTTTCATAGAAAATTTTATGAAATATCTATTTTACGAGTTTGTTTTTCCACTATTTATACATAGAACGATAAACAATTCTATTTTAATGAATAAACAATTCACATAATTTCATCTTCTCGCGTGGATGAGGTAAAAGTTCTTCCGTTGTTTCATGAATAAAAAATATTCTACCATTCCGGAGAGACACAATGTGAAATTTGCATGATGGAAAAAGCGATTAGAAATAGATTGAATTTAAAACAGAATATACAATAAAAGTTAAAAATATGAAATAATTAAAAAATGTAATGATAAATTGTAACTTTATCTGTAAGTAATCAAATTATCTTTTAAAAGCTAATTAACCTCACTTTTGTCAATTTTCAATTGACAACTTTTCAATTGATGATAGATATTAATATTAAATTAATATTATATTATTATACCTTACCTTAATATTTAATTTTTGAAAAAATAAATGAATTATATAAATAATTTCATCTATCGAAAAGAGCTAATAAAAATAATTTCTTTTTTATTCGTGTAATTAATTAGTTTAATTTAAGAAATTATATGTTAAATATCAGTGTTTAATTTCTAATTCCAAAATAATGTTATTTAATATATTAATTTTAATGAATAAAAGTATTATTGTGCAATTAAAAATAAAAATAAAATTTAATCCATAAAAAAGTGCAACCTGTTTATTTGTTTCAAATATAACATATAACATGAGCTTTCAACTTATGTATTGTGAACTTCAAGGAAATTGCAGATTATTTGTCTACTATCGTATCGTAAAGAGGTCGTATCTCAAGAAAAATTAAGAAACACTATACTGCATAATAATAGAACATTGACAGGATGGTGATAATCAGAACGATTCAAAATGTGGTGTACAATTTTTTTATAGAATCGCATATGAAAAGTTGTCGTCCTTTAAATGTAACGCGAAACTGCTTGCAAAACTCTTGTCCGGTATTTCTGTACCAGCAAAACTGGACTTTAGCTTAAATTACACCAGACATCATGTTGTATGATTTCCGAGATCGTAATGCATGTTGAACATCTGATGAAATATACTTCCTACATTTATAGGATTATAAAATTTTGTATATGTTTCATTTGGAATATATATATATATATATATGATTTTTTTATTTAAATCATTTTTCTATTAAATAAAATTATATTATACATATATATTGTATATATACATGTTTATATATTTTTCAATAACCATATTATAAAATTCATTTTTGTAAAATTTTTTAATTTTGGCTTATTTTAAAAAATTTTCAGAAATTTTACAACAATCAAATTAATTTTTGTAAGCTTAAAAAAAATGTAAAGACAGCTCTTCATGTTTCAGCATGACACTAACATGAAATTTTGCAATCACTTCCGCATTCTCTGATCGTGTACCGTGGTATAGGATTACGACGAAAGAAAAATGTAAATTTTATGGTAATTAATTAGAAACAATAAAAACAGAGATATGATCGATCACATCATTAGCTGTAGTTATATTTTAGCACACTGTAAAGATTAATAATATGCAATACATTTTCATGCATGTTCATACATTACATACGTTATACGTTTATAAAGTTTTAGATATTAATATATCTATTTATTATGAAAATTAGATTAAAATAATATATAGGTAAGATAAATGAAACATGAAAAGCTATTTTCTCGAAACTATTTCATGTTATATCAATATTTTCTTTTTAAAATAAATCATTCGCAGACTCATTTAAAGTATTATTATTTTTCTAAAAATTCCTAGAAAAAAAACTATAATTGTAATTGAAAAACTATAACTGTAATTTTTCTACTTTGCAGAATAAAAATTTATATAAATGTTTTTGTATTTAAAAAAATTAATATATCTTTCTGTTTGAAAAAATAAAATATTAAATTTTTTGAATATCAAAGAATATTAAAAATTTGTTATATAATTAATAAATAATTAACTCGTATAAATTGTAGTATAATTGTACTCGTATAATTTAAAAAAATAAATTAAATTAATAAATAATAATTTAATAAAAGAAAAATATGTCAATATTTTCATTTATTTAAAAATAAATGAAATTATTTATAAAGTTAATTTATAAAATCAATTTTAAATGTGATTAATATAAATTATCATTAAATTTGTTGAATTATAGTAAATATTTATATCAAGCAAATATACAATCTAATAATTAATAATTATTAATAATTAATAATAAAAATAAAAAGAAATAAATATAATATTGTTATTCAATAACCGCAAGTTATTATGAATAATTTTCTCTTATTAGAAATTTTTATTGTGATCAATTTTAAATTCGAACTTTCATAGACGGTATTGCGTTTCTTCAAAAGAAACTTTTTCTGTCATCCTACACGCGAGTGAACCTACATAATGTCCCACGCTAGAATTACTTTCGAACTCGTGTTTGAAAGTGAAATCGAATCATGTTGAATCGAATTTCGAAGAGTTTCTATAGAGTCGACAACCATAACGGAATCAATTTGTATTTCCCATTATTTGCATACATTGCACTCATTTGAAAATACAATATTACGTATTTAATCATAAGTATAAATTTTATATTAAAATATTTAATTGAAAAAAATTAATACTGCAAGAATAAAAGAAAAAAAATTAAAGTTTATTTTTCTAATAAAAATAAAATTATTTTTACTATGAAATGAAAAAAAAATTATTAAAAAAAAAAAATTAAAATAAGATCTTAATAAATCATTCATGAAGAGATTAAAAAAAATTTCATCATATATTAAATAGTTATAAATATTTATAATTAATAATTACAATATAAAAATTATAAATACAAAAATTATTATAAATTTCAATGTAATTTAATTCGAAATAGTTTAAAAAAAAATTGATTTTTGTTCAGAGACATACATATAAAATGAGATACAATATAGTATAACAAATTATTTTTTGCAAAACTGTAATATTAAAAGTATATATAAACATGTACATGTATGATTAATTTATAATTAATCATACATATAAAATGAGATACAATATAGTATAACAAATTATTTTCTGCAAAACTGTAATAAAAGTATATATAAACATGTAAATGTATGATTAATTTATAATTAATGATTTTTGTATTTAGTTTTATTTTTATGCTTATTCTTTTATTACATATGCATTAAATAAAATATACCATTTAAAACTATACACAATAGTTAAGTTCATTCTTGTAATATATATTTAAATATTATATTCAAATTTATTACATTCAAAATATATTTTTATATACAATTATAAATTACTTTTGTAATTATTTAAAGTTCAATTTAGAATATTTTAAAATAATATACAATAAAAATGATGCAATGATGAAATTTCATAATTGTTAATTTAATCACATTTCATTATTGAATATTAACACATTGTATATATTTTAACAAAATTATTTATATAATTTATATTAAAATTAATTCCATTTTTAATCTTTTATCTGAAATAGTAATGAAGTAATCAAGTAAATAATTTTTTTCAAAATATATTTAATATATAACACTTAACTGAAAAAATATTACGTACCATGTATTTTCTCTCTCTTTTTTCATAAAGTTTTATTTTTATAATAAAATAAGATTTATAATATCATTAAATAAATATAGTAAATTATAAATCATCCTTACATCAAAATAAAATAGAAATATAGATCATAATGGCTACAAATTGAGAAGCCATTTGGAATGATTTTTCTTTATATATATATATATATATACACACACACATATATATATATGTAAAAAAATAACAATCAATGTTCTAATGTTACTACCACAATATTTTTTGAAATATATTTTGTGATTTTGGCTGATAGATGGAAAACTGAATTAGATGTTGGTAGCAAATTAGCACAAAGTGCTATTCTACAAACACATCAACTACACTCAAGTAAATATTCACGGAGGTTGTGAATTATATCTGTTATTATCATTTGGCAATATTAAATTAGATGCTGGTTCATCTTCAAATATGCCTTCATCTACTTCATCATCAGAAATGGTAAGTTCATCGAGATATTTATAACTATTACTTAGTTGACTGGATGGTACCACTTGTTCCTAAAAAAGAACATGCAAGAATAATTCAAGTGAATATAATACTAATAATGAATATATATTACATAAATAGAAATAAAAGTGTACATTATTAAACTTAAATTAAAAATAGATAATTATTATCATATTTATTAATCATACCTCAGATTCTGTATTTATATCTTGAAATGAAGTATCAACTTCATAATCAAATAAATCTTCTTCTGGTTCTTCTAATGGATGAACTAGTAATTGTGCAGAACCTTCGTTTAAATTCATAGTTACTTCTGGTTCTCCTAAAAATTTACATAAATATATGTTAATTATTAATTATTTATTGGAAATATATTTATTGGAAATATAAATATAATATAATTTATATTTCTTTGTATCTTTACTTACGAAGTGGATCTTCTAAACGATTATCCAAATCAAGATATGCTGTTAACCTGTTGCTATTATTATTATTGTCGTATCTACAGTGGATCAGATCATTATTATTCTGATTTTGTAATTCATCCATGTCTTCTGTTATTTCAGTTGATAGTACATTCAGATTGGATCGTCTACGAAATATCTATATATACTAAAAAAAAATTAATATGGTTAATATAATCTGCAAAAATTGTGTTATAGTATTGAATGTTGGGTGAAAAATCATGATCATGTAAGAAGCATTTAAACACGAATTAGAAAATTTACTTTGAATTGTTATAACTAGTTGTTGCAAGACAGCAACAAATATTTCGTGATGATGAGGATCTTGTAGATCCTTTTTCTTCTTCAAAATTCATCATTTTGAGCAGATGAGTCCGATTAGATTGACGATATCAGAATTCTTCGTCCTTCTGTTAAAACTCGTTAATCTATCACACAGTTTGTTTCTAAATAGAATTATGAAATCTAAAAATGTGCTACGTCATGACGATTATCGACATAATGTATTCTCTAAAATATGCTCACCTTCAATGATGATGATTTATCCTTCTTTTAAATAACGTAAAACGATATAAAATTTACTCAAAAACTTTTATCACCATTACAAACAATAACCATAATGCAATAACGTTAAGACACTAAACAACCGCTCAGACGTCGCGAGTTGATAGGTTATACGCATGCTCCATTCACATGTAATTATAAGCAGCTGAATAACGTCATATTCAATAAGTTATAAAATTATTCAACCTACTATTGTCCTCAATTTCTTATTATTTGTAATTTAAATTTAAATGTATTTAAAAACAATAATAATAGTATTATTTTAATAATTTATTTATTCAGGTTGGAAATATGTAAATAGGTAAGATTGAAATATTTAATTCACCAATTGTATTTGTAAAACTTTGTTAGTTATTATAAGAATTCTAAAATTGCCTATCTTATAAAAAATTTTGCACAAAAAATATCGATGTATATCTTGTGAAACTCATTCAATAATAATATAAAAGTACCAAAATATTAGTATTTTTAATTCAGACACAATATTATAATAAAATATGTATGTTTTACTAATCTATATTAAAAGCTTTTTATTAAAAATATTTTTTGTGTATAATTCTTTTAAGATATCTTAAAACATGTATATAATGATGACTAAAGAGTTGTTTAAAGAAGTTGTTTAAGAAAAGAAATTAAACAACATATTTATAGGATACCGAGTCTAAACTAATAATTTTGTCACTTTATTGTCATGAAAAAAAATATATATATATATAAAATATAAATATATAAAATATATATATATATGTGTGTCTGTGTATATATGTAATACAGAAAATACAGAAAATATCCATACCTTAAAAACAATTTAGGATAAATATAAAAGTTCGAATATAAACATTGGGAAAAACAAGATTGCAAGTACAAAACAAGAACAATAACATACACGCTGAAAATTAAATTTTACGGAAGATCTTTATAGGTTACTTCCATTTCTTTAAAAAAACAATCAATTAAAAATAACCATATAAAAATATCAATGTTAATTATAGAATTCGATACATAGCGGTCATTGAGAAATATTACGAACTTGATTATTTAAAAAATTATTAGTTTCTTCTTTTTTTCTTCTTTTTTAATGAAAATGAAAGAAATGATCACAGATTTATCCCTGTCTCCCATTTTCTTTCTACATGCGATTATATTACTAGAAGAAAAAATTATAATAACAAACCTCCCGTGAAAACGTGTTAGTTTAAAAAAGAGTATCACCCATAATAATTGGGTCTTTTTCTCTTCAAACGTATATGTCGATATAAATGTCTATTTTCTATGATATTTTCTGAGCCACGTTGCGTTTCTTCATTTATTATTTTATTTTATTTTTTTTTTTTTTTTTTTACTGTGATCTATAAATAGCCTAAATAAAATACATATGTATATGCGTGGCTTTGCTGCTTCGATATAATACTACAAAACTTAACAAAACGCTTTTAATCTCTTCGACATACGTCCCATTTTTGTCTTTTATAAATTGCTCTAGTTTACTTTTGTGTAAAAGTGTAAAATTCAAAAAGAGAATCATTTGCTGGGATAAAATGTTCTTTTGGATTATGGGAACTTGTCAAACATATTTCAAGATGCTTTTATTCTTTCTCGGGCATCCTCTTTGACTGGGACGATGGGAAATTCGATCCGATATGTTGTAACTGAAATTAACAAGCGCAATCACAAGCGCAACGGCGCACACGCTTCTCACGGCGATGAGTGAATGCTTCTGGAATGGAACGCACTGAACGTGGTTGGACATCTATGAACAAAGTGAAAACAAGTTTTATCTAATATTGTAAGATATATGTCTAATGCATATGACTATATAATACAAACTTATATCGCACTTTATTGAAATAAATTTTATTAATAAAAATGAAATTGAAAATTTATTAATAAAATAAGATTAAGATAATTTATAAAATAAGAATTAAGATAAGAATTAAAAACAAGAAAATAAAAACATGAGAAATATAAAAATTATTTGCTCACAGTGTGGACGGCTTTCCTCTTCTTGTTCCTGTTGTTGTTGTTGTATTTGTTGCTGTTGCATCATCATATGAGTTGCCTGTTGTTGTTGTTGTTGTTGTTGTTGCTGCTGTTGCTGCTGCTGTTGTTCTTGCTGTCTTTGCTCCGATTCTTGTTCAAGACTTTGATTATCAGAAACTTCAGCACGAGCCTCTACAGGTATTTCCAGAGATTCTACAGGTCTTAACGGTAGAGCGAATCTTGGAAAAGCATTACCTTCTACAACCTAAAAAATTAAAGTAAATATCGATAAATTAATCGCACATAATTAAAAATTAAATTATAATATTTGAAGCTAAAAATAAAAATGCAAAAAAAAATTATGGCAGCGGTGGGATTCGAACCCACGCCTCCGAAGAGACTGGTGCCTTAAACCAGCGCCTTAGACCGCTCGGCCACGCTACCGGTTATTACTTTGTTGAAAAAATGCTGATCCAGCGGTTCTCATTTGTTCTTATATAATATTTATTATGATAAATATATATTTTAAATAAGTTAATAATATTTCATAACGCGAGCATTGAAATACGAAATTCGAAAGCAAAAATGCAATTATTTATTATTGCATTTTATATATATAAAAATATATAATTATATATTTTTATATACATATTATATATATAAAAATATACGAAATTTATATAATATTAATAAAATGATATTATTGCATGTTTAAACTTTGTTCAGATTAAGTCAATTTAAACAATTTGAATTCAAGTAATTAAACCACTTTATAATATAAATATATTATTTTACTTAATTGATATGAAATTTATATCTAAAAATTAAAAACTTTTTAGAAAAATAAATTAATTTGTTTCTTTTTAACCTGGTTAATTATATTACGAATTTCCGCTGGTAAAGGGAAGTTTCTTTCCTCCTCGCTGTCATCTTCTGGTCCAGAGAAAGATTTCGCTTCCTGTTGTTCGCTGGAACTATCCGACCGTTGACGACCCTCGACATTTCCATGTTCCAACAGATTTCGAACTTCGACAGGAAGTGGAAGTCCTATAGGAATAGATTGAGCTCCTTCCGGGAACGGCTTGAATTCTTGAACGTTCTAGAAGAAATAAAATATATAATATTATATTTAGCAAAACAATCTCACTTATATAAATTTCATTTTTCGCAATCAAAAAAATGTTTATTTATGTTTTCTTCCCTTGATTTCGTTATTTTCTTATTTCCTCTTCATTACAAACATTGCAAACAAATTAATTACCTCACGGCGAGCACCTTCAGGTATTTGCATAGGTATCGGTCTTGCTTCGCCGGTGATATGCTGAATGATATTTTTGATTTCCAAAGGTACTTGTTGAATAATCCTTCGAATTTCGAACGGGATTCCTTGGAAGGGTGAACGTTGCGTCTCCGTAACTTGAGATTGCGATTGTGGTTGCGGCTGAGGCTGAGCTTGAAGCTGCATTTGAGGCTGCATCTGAGGTTGCATCTGAGGTTGCATCTGAGGTTGCATCTGAGGTTGTACCTGGAGTGGACGTTGCTCGGTTTGCGGGATCAACATATGAGGAATAATCCGTTGCTCGTGAATCTGAGCTTCTGGTTGCGGTGCTGGAGGAGGCATCATCGCTGGTTCTTGCTCTTGGTTATAAAGTCCAGATGTTTGCTCAATTTGTTGATACGTCAGTGGCACTTGTTGCGGTTCTTGGGGCATCGGTGGTCGCATACCTCTCATAGGATTCGCCGGGAAATGACGCAACTCGATGGGAATCCGACGTATCTCGACCTGAATAAAATTATTCGATTACAATTATATCTTTCTTAATTAAAATATTTTGAAGATATATTACAATACTCGATTGACAAACTTTATTTATTTATTTCAATATAATTATTGCAATCTCAATGATAAAAATTTTTTTCATTTTTTCTTTTTTTTGTCTTTTTAGTCTTTTTTTTTTGATTTTGTTCCTAATTATTAACACGAAGCGTACTAACTTGAGGTCCCATCGCAGGAGCTTGTGGTCCCATCATGGGCGTTTGTGGTCCCATACGTGGAGGCCTCATTTCCATGGTTACTTGGGGGATATTTCGCAATTCTGGGGGAAGGACACCAGGTGGGATATGATTGAGCCCACGTGGATCGCTAAGTGGTAACTGTTGCATATCAGGAACTTGATACTGAGTGTGCACTTGATACTGATGGTAAGCCGGGTTCGGTTCCTGGGATTGAAGTGGTACTTGGACGGTTCCCAGAGGAATGATGATTGGCGTGAGCATTTCTTGATCTTGTTGCCTTAAAAATTATATTTTTTTTTAATCAATATCATACGTATCAATTTTATTTGAATTTCCAAATTTTTAATTTTTTTTTCTTTGCCGTAACAAAATGTTCATTTTTTTTTTCCTTTCCGAATTTAATAATTTTTTATAATATACGTACTCTTGATGAGGATTTCCAGATTCGCACAAGATAGCGACGCGCTCTCCGCTCAATCTTTGGTAACGAGAGTCAGTATTATTTTCAACATTATTGTTATTAGCACCGTCCATCACTTGATCGGCTCTTCGTCTTTCGACCACGCAAGAAACTCTGCTGCGTGCCTCTTGGATCAAGGTCTAAAAAAAAAAAAAAAAAAATATTTGTAAATTTTCTCTTCAGATAAACTTATCATTTTTTTATTCTTAAATTCATTTTATCACGACTCAATAAAAATCTTTTATATACATATATATATATATATATATATACATAAAGTTGTGATAACATTGGCAAAGTATAAATTTCCATAAATTATCGAATTGCATAAAAGGTAATAAAAATATATTGATTGTCAAATTATGGAAATATTATCTTGCGATTAAATTAACTTACGCCCGCGATCTCGTCGAAATCGAATTGTAGGGGAAGTTTAATATGCACGGGAGGAAATTCGTCATCGTCGTAGTCATCGTCGTCATCGTCATGGTCACCGCTTTCGTTGTCCGATTTCGAATTGTTCTCATTCTCCTTGTGAATTTTGACGTCCTTGGTGTCTGGTTCTGCCTCTTTCTTCGACGGTGTTTGCTCAGCGAGAGATTGTTGAACCTCTTTCGTGTCGCTGGTATCCTGTGCAAAGATAAAATATTCTCTTTGAAA